ACCGGTGAAAGCGCTGGACGTTCGCCTTTCGTTCCCTCGATTTCGTAAATAACACCCCCGCCAACAGAAGGCAGTGAGTAGAACTGCCCTGGCAGTCGTTGTATGCACGTGGCCATGTGAAAGCATTTCGAGAGGGAGAGCTGACTCTCCCCACTCTCGGCCGTACCAAGGCGTTTGGGGGCTACTACCTTAAGTAATTATACTAAAATTCAGAAGTGATAATATTTACCGGAATCTATAAAAATACTCCCGGGTTCTGATCATAATCTAATATCAAGAATCCGGATATAAACTAAACATTTTATTGAAAGTTCACGGTTTACACTGATATAATATCCTAAAATAAAGTTAGATGTTTAAAGAAAGTGTTCTGCAATTCATTTAAATTGTTAACAGGTTTTGTCCTTATAGATTTGGTCTCTCATAATAGCTAATATAAAATCTAGTTATAAACGATGTCCATACATTTGTCCGTTTAATTTACATAACGCAAACATTCAAATAACTTCATTATACCAAATAGGCAACATCTAACAAGGATGAATACTTTTCGAGTACTTCAATCATTCTGTAATTACTTGAAATTAAGCATTTTAAATAATTTTTTTTATGATGGAAATAAATGAAGTGTTGAAAAATCATTTTTTTTTCCTTACTGCAATCACATAACCTTTAATGAATAATTTGTATATAGACATATATAATCTGCTAGGTTCTGTTTTCTCAAATTCATTCAATTGTACGTTAAAACTCAATATAGCGTAAAAATAATAAGTTATGGCAGCATAATTATCCCGGAAATTCTATCAGATCAATTGTATCTTAGTAACAAAAATTTCCTTAACTAATTACCAAAACTTTAACTAATCTAAATTATCAAGTGTAAAATTAATCAACAGATAAACATAAATTTCATTACGTGGATGGAAAACTTGATATTTTTCGACGATTATGCTACTAGCGAGGGGTTAATATGATTTTTGTTCCGTTAATACGAATCTATAACAACTCTAGACAGACACAGGACTGGGCACTTGATCGATACTCTAGATGTTAGATTATTTGACTAATAGACTAGTTCATGTTGAACAGTGATATACGATTCACGATCGAAAATTGAAAATCAGATTATAGGCTAGAAAATAGTCATATTAAAACAAATACAAGCAACCCACCCAGCTGAACTCAAAGAGGAAACCAATAATACAATGGAGTTAAAATAATGTTGCGACATTTGAAAATGATCAGTGTCTGTTTGCCTTCGCTTACCTGTTAAATACACCTTACATTCATTGACCAGATATTAGATTACTTAATGATTTTTGATAAAACCGTAATTTCTTTCTTCAGTCCTTGTTAAACAGTTACCAACTAATAACATGTACAGAATAAGTTGACAGTAAAATTTATATGACTGACTATGCTATATATAGCATTAAGGACTAGGGGAGTTCCGTTGAAGTACAACCGTGAGCAAGGGAATATTAGACAGCCATTTTACCATAGTACAGAAAATCACTGCAGTGCTCATCCACTTACTTAATGATGCCTGCTATCCCTCATGAACGAGCATAGGCTACCCAACAGCATTCTCAATCCATATCTGTTCTGGGAAATATTTCTCACTTGTTTCCAATTGCTATTCATCCTTTTTATGTCTGTTTACAATTCTCGACACAATGTGTTCTTTGATCTTCTTCTTCTTCTTTAGTCTTTTCCATTTCCCTTCAGGATACCAAGATGACGCTTGCGTCGTGATGCAGTTTGATGATTTGTTGAATCGGATTTTTTATCTGCCATATTAGATTATTGTTGATGATATCCGTCCAACGGATATGGAGTATATTGTGTAAACAATGGTTTATAAATACTTATACATTTTGATGATGGTTGTAGTAGTTTTTCAAGTTTTAGCTGCACATAGTGGGACTGTTTTGACGTTTGTATTGAAGATTCTGACTTTGATATTAATTGGCAGATGTTTCGAGTTCCAAATGTTCTTCAGTTGTAGGAATACTGACCTCAATTTTCGCAATTTATGCATTTACGTCTCATCAGATACTCCTTGGTCGTCGATGACGCCGAACAGGTATGAAAACATTTCACCTCCTCCAAAGCTTCTTCACCAAGTGTGATTGGGTTGGTGTTCTCAGTGTTGTATTTGAGGATCATGCTATTTCCATTGTGTACGTTGAGGCCTACTGATTCAAAAGTTTATGTTACACTGGTTGTCTTCATCTGCATTTGCTCGTGTGCATAGGATAGAAAGTCTAGGTCATCTGCGAAGTCTAAATCGTCTAGTTTCATGCAAGCTATCCATTTATTCCGTGCTTCCTTTCAGAGATGGAGGTCTTCATAATCCAGTCAACTATCAGAAGAAAGAGGAAGAGAGAGTATGCAGTCTTGTTTGACTCCGGTCTTCACTTGCAAGGCGCCTGTCAGATGTCTTTCATTCACGACTTTGCACTGTAGTCCGTTATATCAGTTCCGTTTGATTGTGACAACCTCATCTACTCACTCCATAGTGTCGAAGAAGGTTCTATAAGGTTCTTCTAACTACGCTGTCAAATAATTTCTCATAATCAAGGAATTTGATGTATAGTGACGAACTCCCTTTCATTAGTTGGTTAGGAGTGATCCGTAGCGTCGCGATTTGGTCGGTACATAGTCTATACTTACGAGATCCACCCTATTGATCTCGAAGTTGAGCGTCTACTGAATCTTTCATCCGGTTTAGCAACACTCTGTCCCAAACGTTTCCCAATACTGACTGCAGTGTGATGTCTGTGTGGTTCTCAAATTTGCTCAGATCTCCTATCTTTATCTTAATGAGATGTCTTTCTTTGCAGTCTATCAGTGGCACTTTTTCCTCTTCCCAAATCTTGCTGAATTCAGTATGAAGCATGTTTACAGTTACTTCTATGCGCGACTTCAGAGTTTCAGCCGGTCTGGTCCTACTGTTTTCTCACTGTTGATTTATCTTACGACCATCATTATTTATTCTATTGTTGATGGGGTGACATATATAGAAAGGTTCTGTGTGTGCTGCTTCAATATCCAGTGGATTTAGTGAAGCTGGTCTATTCAACGAAGGCTGTACTGAACCTTTGCACGGCTGTCTTCAGTTGTTCAGTGCTTCTTTAGGTACAGTTTCATCTCGGCAGCCACCAGATGGTGATCTGAAGTTATGACAGCTCCTCTCCTGGTACTTACGCCTTCCATTGATTTTGTGAATTTTTTACCGATGCAAATATGATCGATCTAGTTGTCTGTAGTGTGATCCTGTGAGACCCATGTGGTTTTGTGTATGTGTTTGGGAGGGGGGAGTATATGTCCGCCTATCAACAATTTATTGAATGCACATAAATTTGAATATCTCTCACCATTCTCCTTCCTTTCTCCCATTCCTCCTTCATACCCAGTGTTGTCCATTACGAATTCGACGTTTACGTCTCCCACCAGGATGGTCAGGTCATTTCCTGGTCACTTCTCTACAAACAATTACAGTCTCTCATAAAACTGATCCTTGTCGTCTTCATTTCTACCATTTCTGGGTGCATAGCACTGGATAACACTCATTGTCATTCCATACTCCTTTCTCCGAATGACGTTTTCATGGTTTTCGATCTGCATTGGACAGCATCAGTGTAGCTCATTGTGTGAGGCATTTTCTTCTTCGTGATCAGAGTTCAAAAGCACTTATTTGGAATCTAACGTTTTCTGTTCAGCTTTCTTCTAATGGTTTTCACTAGTTCCGAGAAACGCTATCTCTTATTTCCTCAGTTATTTGACTTGTCCAGGTCTCACACATTGCGCGAACATTCCATGTACCTATACTGATTACTGTTCTGGTTTTAGAAGGGGATATCTGTCCTGAGTTTCGCACCTTGTATATTTAACTGGAAGATAATCTACTCACACCAAATATTCATTTGGTCAGAAAAAGTGTACTCAATCCAGATTCCGAAATACGTAAGTGGTATCTAGTCGTCTCCACTTTTACTTTGGTGTTCACATAACTATATGATTCCACTAAGGTTTACTGGTGTAGAATTAATAAAACCTAAGACGTAACATCGGTCCATGAATTTATTGACTGCTTAACTGAACTATGATAGTAGGTGCAAACTACCTGTTTGATATTCGAACGATTACCATTATCAGTGGATTGAGACATTGGATAACGTGACTCATAATTAGTCTTGATGGAAGAAATGTATTCACTGTCTTAAAGAAATTATAACTTCGATTCCTCAAATTTTTTTCCTACTTTAAGATCATGAATTGATTAATGGTAAACCACCACTGAAAACCTGGAAGAACTGGGAAGCCGTTTGCTTATTGTCAAATCATATTATTCATACTTAGTCTCTTCTAATAAGATTGATACTGTTAGTAATAATTATCATACGAAATTTGTATCGTTAATTTTATTTTGCTGTGTTGATGTGACATGACAACGTAAACCGATGCATACATGTGACAGGTTTAACGTTACTTATGGATGATTGATCTAAAAGCTGAACAAATCTACAAAGGCCTAATATGAAATCAATAGTTGTGTGTTCACTAGCCACTAGTTTTCATACAATATTTCTTAAGGCTTAAGAGAATGTGATCTATAAAGTTCAGCTACGTTAGATAATTGCACAACTCTTCACTAACAGCACTGGTTGATGGTAGCAGTATATCGCAAACTAACTAAATTTGTAAGTATTGATTATTGAAATGAGACTCAATTACTTTGCTGTCATTATCTAAATGCTTTAAGTTTGATCATTTATAAAGGTCATGAGTAACGGCACATTCGAGAACTCTTAAACTAAGATTTAGTGATGAAAATTTTTTTTACAGATTGACAAACTTCAGTATTGCGTATTAAAAAAAAGAAAGTACAAACCCTTAGTAACACCTTCACAGCCGGTTGAACAGTTTAATGATTATCTGTACTTATCAACTCAGTGGATAACACACTGAGTTTTTGAAGCAAAAGCTACTGGATTTAAACCTTAGTGTGAACAAAAAACGTTTGGATGTAGATATATGCAGTTGACGAGTTTTAGAGAAAAAAAAAGACCGAAACACTCATCTTATTTTTATTGATTAAACAAGTAAGTTATGCAGTAGTAAACTTGAATTCGAATTCATAAAATTCAAAAGTCTCAAGTTACCTATGATGTTATATTTCATTCCGTCATTAAAAATAGTAAATCTCTTAAAGAGTTCTAGTTCTTTTATCGATCAGATTACAAGATTACATATGAATCTCGATATGATTACTTACTAGTGAATCATTAGTTGGATTTCACGAACTGTCGTTAAAGGTTACTTATAAGTAAATTACTTATTTTTAATTGATGTAAATGAGTTTGTTATTCTTATTGTTCTTCTTTTTTATTTTCGTTGTAAAATCATATTTTAATAATAAAAACAAGAAATTAAAAAACAAAACAAAGCAATACACACAAATAATAATGATAAAATGAGGAAATCGGAAGGAAAGAAAATGTATTGATATTATTATTATTATTTTATGGTGAAATTTGAAGTAAACTGTAAAGAAGCATCTTTCTAAGTAAGATAAACAAAGTTAATAAGTAAATCTCTTCCGATTTGTATATTCCACTTTTATTGTTTGTTACATTTGACTATTACGTGGTGTAGATGAAGAACGTATAGATTTTATTAAATGATTTGAATAGTTCATTTCTCTTGTATTATCATCATCATTATTATCTTTGTTTAATGATTTCATTGATGATTCTTTGAATATAGTTTGACTGAAATTCAATAGAATATATGAAGTATATAATAATTTTACAATATTCATACCATAACTTGATAATAATGCCCATTCTAAAAATCGTATAGGATATTTACTAGCAAAATGTAATAATATTACTGTTGGACTTAATGTACTCCATAAACAAATACCTTGATTCCATTGAGTAATTAAATTGATCATTTCTGGATAACATAAACATTGTACAAGTGTATTAAATTTATATGGATCCCGTTCATTAACATCGATTTGTTTAGCTAATTTTTGTAAAACAGTAGTAGGTAATGGATAGGATGGTATATTTAATAAATGATTAGATACTTCTTGTGCTAATTCATTGTTACTGAAAAATAAATCTTTTTTTAACTGATTTTGTAAATGTATTGAATGATCTGACTTTCTATTTTCTCTTCGTTTAATATTAGTGTTGTTTATATTGTTGTTATTAAAGATGTTCTCTTCATAAGATGCGTCGTCATTATCTTCCTCTTCACCCTCGTCTTCGCCTATGTTGACATCATTATCATCATCATCGTCATCATTATCAAGAAGATGTCTCACATCAGTTGAGCGTTGGTTTCTTTCATTTTCTGATGTTCTTGGTTTGTGTAAGTCAATACTACACAACGATGTTCTATAGCTGTGAGAATTTTGTGCAATCAAAAATAGAAGTGTTTGTATTAATTGTTTAGAATCCCATACTTTTGGATTTTTATAATGTTTGCTTAGATCGTTTGAATTGAGTAATTTAAATTCCAGATCTAAGTTTGGACAACATTTTGAAATTACCTGTGTAATCAAATGGACAGTTTCATGAAGAAGACTAAATGCTTGGTGTATATGACATGGGAGACATCTAGAGAAAATATCAAGGACCTATTATTAAAATGAGAAAGAAGAATATTGCAAATTAAATGATCATACTATTTAGATTTGAATTGACTAACAAAAATATTTGTATTATACATAAATGATTGGTATCTAATGAGTGAAGCCGTAGTTTCTAGCTCAAAACAACTGATTGCTTATAATTACACAGATACCATAATGCTTTCTAAGATTTTAAAAAAGTATTAGGGTGGTCGATGGTAGTGGTCATAAAGAGGCCCTGGGACCTAGGTTTCATGCTATTTGGCAGCCGACAGCAAGGTGTGTCTGTAATCTTGAAGAAACTGACGCTACCTGGTGGATTCGATCACATGTCACTCAGTTTCACGGTCAGAGATGTTACCACTGATCACTGGGTAGTGACCAATGTCATGTATGTCAGTTTTTTTGGTCTATATCAAATTCTATGTATCAAATTGCAATGTGGCCTACAAATCCAAATGACTCGAAATCGCATGCTTTGTGTTGAAATGTATATAAAGAAGTATTGTTTATACTTTTGTCGACTAATGTTTTTTATCTAATCAACAGAGGATTTCTAGAAAGTCAAGAACTAGGTCCTTAGTTGGTAATCGAGGTTTTCATGTTTCTTAGTAATAAACGCAGAGGTTAAATGAGCTGAAACCAAACGTCAAAATTCAACGGCTTTCACACCGATAAACAAATTTAACTCGAAATATTATCGCATGTCAGGTTTTTAAGTAAGCTTGTGCAAAATCAGGAGCGCTATTGGAAGGACTAGTGGTTCGGGTTTGTTAGGTAGTTGAATTTCTATTTTTATTTGACATGATTACAGGATAACCGCTAAGCATCAACCAAGACATTTAAAATAAAACATAAAATTGTCAGAACATATTTTGTGAAAGACATTTCAGTGAGACTGTGGTTTATGGATGACCTTCAAGCGAACTATAGAAAAATTCCCCTCCCTACTAGTCTAAATATAGTATAAATTAGTTTCAAAAATCGGGATTCGGCGCTAGAAGTTAGAGATTAGAGTCATCATCACGAACTGATATCAGTTATAATGCCAAAATACTATTTTACCATATGAATGAATTCCGTACAAAATCCAAGACATGTTACCTTTAATTTCATTGGCTCGCCCACAAATTATAGTCTCGCCGATATTTTATTTTTATCAAATGATAAGTGCCGCGAAATATATTCAGCTCACTAATCTATCAAGAGTCTACAAGGTACTGCTTAAAGAAAGCTTTTACTTTTAAGATCAGTAGAATCTCTTACAGAAAAGATTGAATAATAAATCGAACACCATACATTGAACTTGGTTAATTAACTACTGATCAATCGGATGACTACAAAATTTCATATTCCTGAACTCAATCAAAATAATTTTTCTATGGCGGGATGAATAATAAAGCGGAAGTGGACTGTCAGAATGGTCCTGTCTGGAGGTTTTGTTGATATCTTCGTTGTAGAATTATTAAATACTTAAACTATTATATTCTTGTATTCTCTTATTTATAAGCTCTTGTCTAACACATAAATCATTGTTGTGCGTCTCACCATTCCTAAGTTATTGTTAATTTATTACGAGTCTATTAGTCAGTTCGTTTTCAACTATGACACAGTTATACCCATAACGTAATTTCTTAGTTCTATTGATGTGTGGTCAGGATTTGGCTCTATAATCAATACTGGAACTAGATCAATACATCAACTGTTCTGTCTTGCAGTTCGATCTTGGTGATCAACAATCAAACATAAAAGTATATTTACTTTCACTGACACATCAATGTTCAATAATAAATTGAACAATGGGAAAGTTCCATTTTAAACTGAGTTTTAAGCACGTAAGAAAGAGCGATTAATTGAAGTTTATTGTTCCAAGCCCTTGTAAATGATTATCTATGGTTATGTCATGATGCCAGATTCTTTTATTACTAACTGTTGACCTGCCTGAAAAAATCTAGATTGACTACTGCTTGAATTTTCATAATGATAATCGTCATTTTTTATAATCAGTGAAATTTGTTGATGTACCAACATACTTAAGCATCTGTATTGGGTACATTATGGACATCATATGTCAGTCATTGTTATGCTGTGTGTAATTTATAGAGTAAATATATTATTACTGTAAACAAAATGTAAAATCTAGTTGTTTGATTTGTCGCTTTATAATACCAACGGTCTTCGAGAGTATGACGAACTGACTAGAGTTACTCATACTGTGGTGTGCTACTTATATTGACATAAGTAGTATATGACGTTACTCGTGAATAGAAGGTCTGGCAGCAGACAGACAAAAGGATCGAATAGTAAAAAATGGAAACAGAATTCAATTTGTATGAAAATGCAAAAACAATCAAGGCTGAGTGATTTTGAGACAATCGATGGACATTTTGCAAATTAAGCATTTACTTTATGATTGTTAGATTTTATTAACAAGTCCTGCAATTTTGTATTAAATGCATTGGATTGTCCCCACTGGTGTTCTTGTTCACTACAATACTACATAAATTTTATTATGTTTGATATTTGGTGATTAACCATAACTGGTAACGAAGACGTTTCCCTGTGAGGTGTTGGAGAAGATTTGTAGCTCAGATGGATGGTTTTGATTTTGATGGAGTTTTCTTCTCTGATGTGAATGGTTTGGTCGTGGAGCTTTCATTGTTCTTCTGAACGACATATTCAGCACAAACTTCAGATAGAAGTGAGGTGTTCGAACTCCACCAAAACGTTTCACTATGTCTCGTGACAGTTAGCATTCAGTAAAGAGGCCTATCTTGCATCGCATGCAAGCACTAACGCACACACAGGGTGATATATTGATGGTAACTTAGTGATCAGTATTTTTTCGTGTTAGTCAACAAATGCTTAACCCCGCCTGGTGCCCTCTGGAGTCACTGCCGATCTCAAGCCCAGGTAAAGGAGGAGGGTTGGGCATGGGGTTAACGACCCCCACCCCGTAGAAAACTAACTCGCTAAAAAACGCTAACCAGAAAAAAATTATCCAAACCACTTAAACACTGCCATGGGAATCAGAAGGTCTTCATTTAGCAGAGTTATGATGCCTCTTGATGAAAGCCGAGCTCATTCGGAATTCACGAGGCCGATGACCCTTCTGACAACCAGAGCAACCATCTGACAAACTAAACAAATTCAAGATAGTCCTCAGCAATAAGTTCCAGGCCTTTCATGATCTACTCAATGGAGAAGGAACTACTATGGAGAGCAACTGGAAGGGCATCAAAGAGGCAATCACTTCAACATGTCATGAGGTCCTGGGTCACAAGAAGCACCATCACAAGGAATGGATCACTGTTGATACACTGGATAAGATTCAAGAAAGGAGGTACAAGAAAGCAGCAATCAATACCAGTCGAACAAGAGCAGAAAAAGCCAAGGCACAAGCTGAATACACAGAAGTAAACAAACAAGTGAAGAGGAGCATCAGAACCGACAAACGTAAATATGTGGAAGATTTGGCAACGACGGCGGAAAAGGCTGCAAGAGAAGGAAACATGAGACAACTGTATGACACGATAAACAAACTCTCTGGAAATCGCCGCAAACCTGAACGACCAGTGAAAAGCAAGGAAGGCAAGGTAATCACCACCATTGAAGAACAACAAAACAGGTGGGTAGAACACTTCAAAGAACTCTTGAATCGACCAGCTCCACTGAACCCACCCAACATCGAAGCAGCACCCACGGACCTCCCAATCAATGTTGGCCCACCAACAATTGAAGAAATCAACATGGCTATCAGACAAATCAAGAGTCACAAAGCAGCAGGACCAGACAACATTCCAGCAGAGGCACTGAAAGCAGACGTAGCGGCAACTGCAAGAATACTCCACATTCTCTTCAATAAGATTTGGGATGAGGAACAAGTACCAAAAGACTGGAAAGAAGGACTTCTGGTCAAAATACCGAAGAAAGGCGATCTCAGCAACTGTGATAACTACAGGGGCATCACTCTTCTCTCAATACCGGGAAAAGTCTTCAACAGGGTATTGTTAAACAGAATGAAGGACTCCGTAGACGCCCAACTTCGTGACCAACAGGCAGGATTCCGTAAAGATCGGTCGTGTACAGCCCAAATCGCAACTCTACGAATCATTGTGGAACAATCAATTGAATGGAATTCATCACTCTACATCAACTTCATTGACTACGAAAAGGCATTTGATAGCGTGGACAGAACAACACTATGGAAACTTCTTCGACACTACGGCGTACCTGAGAAGATAGTCAATATCATACGGAATTCCTATGATGGATTAAACTGCAAAATCGTGCATGGAGGACAGTTGACAAAGTCGTTCGAAGTAAAGACCGGTGCCAGGCAAGGTTGCTTACTCTCACCCTTTCTCTTTCTCCTGCTGATCGACTGGATCATGAAGACGTCAACATCTGAAGGGAAGCACGGGATACAATGGACATCTAGGATGCAGTTGGACGATCTGGACTTCGCAGATGATCTGGCCTTTCTATCCCAAACGCAACAACAGATGCAGGAGAAGACGACCAGTGTGGCAGCAGCCTCAGCAGCAGTAGGTCTCAATATACACAAAGGGAAAAGCAAGATTCTCTGATACAACACATCATGCACCAATCCAGTCACACTTGACGGAGAAGGTTTGAAAGATGTAAAAACCTTTACATATCTGGGTAGTATCATTGATGAACACGGTGGATCTGATGCAGATGTGAAGGAGCGGATCGGTAAAGCAAGAGCAACATATTTACAACTGAAGAACATCTGGAACTCAAAACAACTGTCAACCAACACCAAAGTCAGGATTTTCAATACAAATGTCAACACAGTTCTACTGTATGGGGCAGAAACCTGGAGAACTACGAAAGCCATCATCCAGAAAATACAGGTGTTTATTAACAGTTGTCTACGCAAAATACTTCGGATCCGTTGGCCGGACACTATTAGCAACAACGTACTGTGGGAGAGAACAAACCAGATCTCAGCGGAGGAAGAAATCAGGAAGAAGCGCTGGAAGTGGATAGGACACACATTGAGGAAAGCACCCAACTGCGTCACAAGACAAGCCCTCACATGGAATCCTCAAGGCCAAAGGAGGAGAAGATGAAGACCAAAGAACACATTACGTCGAGAAATGGAGACAGAAATGATAAAAATGGACAAAAGTTGGATCGAACTAGAAAGGAAGGCTCAAAACAGGGTGGGATGGAGAATGCTGGCCGACGACCTATGCTCCATTGAGAGTAACAGGTGTAAGTAAGTAAATAGAAAGTTGAATTAGTGATTATGTTATGTTTAACAATTAAAACATTTCCTTAAAGGAAACAAATCATTAATCATGTTAACTTACTTGTTTATATTCATTAATACATAAAAATATTTGTATTTCACCTTTCGAATCAGTAATTTTTGATCCGTGAAGCCACTGTACTAAATTCCATGAATGTGAACCTTTTGTTCTTCGTTTATTATAAATAGAATTGGTCATATTATTATTATTAAAATTAAAATCTAATGAATTTAAATATAATTCTGATGTTGTATAAAACTGTTTATTAATATTCTGATTACTATTATGATGACCTTTTAAATTTAATTTATTAAATTCATTTGATAATTTTGTTTGAATAAGTTTCTTTCGATTGATTGAAATTTCACGTCTTAATTGTACTTGTATACGTGGCATTAAATGTATAAATTGTCCTGGGGATGTAATTAATTGTAAACCAGAATATATCATTCTTTTATTCTCATCATTACTATTATCCCATAAACCATGATATAATGGGATTTGATTTAAACGTGGCATTTCAATTTGTATCTCTTCAATTGCAATGGAAGAATTATTCAATTTAGAAATATCGAATACAATAGTTTTTGGAAATTGTGTATTATTGCTTAAGTATAAATCATTATTACCATTATTATTATTGCTGTTGTAATTACTACCATTACGATCAGTTTGTTCAATATCTGGTGTCAACGGTCTTGACAATGGACTACTACTAATTTGTTCAAATAATTCAAAACAATCAGTTGAATGTTTCTTTTTATTTCGTGATTTTAAATGACGATGCTCTTTAACAATACAACACACACATAAACCAAATGATTCTAGCAATTTAAGTAAAATTTGTGTATCTTGTTCACGTACGAATAATTGTATATCATCTAGAGTAAAACTTCCAGTGATTCGAGTTCGATGAAGAAATCGTTCAGAGAAACATTTACCTAGTATCTCATTGCATAAGTGATTTGGATTTAATACAATCAAATCATCTTTATAATAACAATACTTGTCATTATCTTCACTGATAACTGCCGATGAATTATTTACAGTAGTATTATGTGAAGCGGTTTGAATATATAAAATCTGTGAAATAAAAATCGAACAGGTTACTCTGAGACTAAAGTTTAGAAGATATTTAACAATTAGACATTAAAATCATCTGAGGAATAACGGAAAGCTAGAAAACACTGTGCATTTATTTTATATTAGATTGGGGACTCCGCAGGATTGTAAAAACATAGCCCAAATGTGGGGTCAAAAGTCATAGCTTTCAGCTCCTTAAATAGGCACAGTGGTTTTAGTTTGTTAGAAATTCAACGTCCCATGCTTCCGAATGTAGTCAATTTAAGGTAATATGAGGTAATCATCGGTTGTCATAGGTAGATGACTGTATTATTTCTTGCAAGTTTGAACACTCCCAAACACTGATTTCAAATATTTATCTAAAAGTTTGTCATCGATGAGCATACAATTGTTATTTGAATAGGAATTTTGTTGAATGTGCTCACTTTGAAAAGACTGGTTATTTTACAGCTTTATACAACAAATTTAAAGGTGTGAATAAATAAATTTTGTTAAGGATAATCATAGATTGCCTTTTAGTTAGGGTCCCGATAAAAACCAAGGTAACCAGTGGGTATCCGTTTCATCAGTATGAAGACAGTCTACATCACGAATTGACATAAGCCGCAGAACCAGTGATATTGGGACGAGTATCTAACTGTCTCACTCAACTTTTAAACTCATTAGTAGTGCTCACCTTAAATTTTACATGGGATTAAATCTAAGAGCTTCAGACTACTAGACGAAAACGAAACCAATGAGATAATAGGAAATGATTTATAAATTTCAACTTCAGTGGATTTGTAATAAGGCCACATCACCTAGTTTTTCTTACCTTTGTGCACATATTACATTTGTAAAATTTTGTTTTCTGTCATTAAACTTGAATACCTTAGTGTCACTTTAATCCTGCTTATAATTTATTAAAAAATTGTGTATTATTGTTCATTATACAATACTAGACACTACCTAAAACAAGTCTGTTGATTTTAGACTTCAGAGATTAACACCAGGAGAGAATTCTTCACAATCAAACTGTACCCGGTAACAAATTACAAAGTTTATACTTTTTGCAAATAAAACATTCCCCCACATTCAAGAAACAAACAATTTTTTTTGGGGGGGGGTTGAGAAAAATAACAGTCATTGACTGATTGATTGAAAAATTAAGTACAATTGTCGTTTAAATCAAAATTTGACAACCATTAACATCACGTTTCGTTTGCAAAAGAACATTGTGGTTTTGATTGAAATATTCACTGACAGGGGAAAATTTTAAGTAGGTTACGTTAGATAATCCTATCAATTATAAGCATGGACAATTCTGTCAAATTTTCTGGTCAAGAATTTTGTATAAAATTATCACTGGAAACAAGAAGAATTTGAAATCTCGTAAATAAGTAGAGACACGCTGATTCTAAAATTAGATGTGAGGTGGTTTTATGCTTCAAATAGGGTATTACAAAGGAACTGATGAAAGTATATATTAGGGTAATCCAATAATCAATCAAAGATATATTACAACCACCTTATTACATCATCCTGATAGAAAAATTAGATAACTAATGAGACTTTAAAAATATACATCTGCAATGACATCTTTTCTGTATATATCCATAAGTATTTTTAGGATTCGAAATACTGATTCAGGTTGTAGGTGGATTTCAATTAAACAAATGTGCTACTAGATTTCAAATAGAATGAATAGAACAAAATAACTACTTAGTTTTACCTCGTTACAACCTAGCATTTCTCATATTGTAATCTGTTTTGAGTTCAATCAAATATTTATCATGAATAGTTTACTGGTTGTTACATTAGTCAATTGTACTAAAAAATCAAATTAACAAACATAATAAGTGCTTAGCAAGAATATACTTTAAAAATGAGAATAAATCAATGAAAATCTCACATTCCCAGCACATTGTAAATGTTCAACAAGAGTTACTAAATGTTCATCCGTACACAAGGGATTAATATGTTCATGAACACGTTCAGCAAATTCATCCAAATTACATATAGGAAATATATCATTAACTGTCCATTCTGGCAATTTATTTGATAAATCGATCATTAAAGAATTTGTCCTTGGTAGTGTCTATGAATAAAAAATAAACCAAGAGCTTTGTAAAATGCCAACATTTTTTTTCTATTATCCATTTTGTTTAGTTAATCAATGAGGCTGTAAGTATACTAACTGCCTTCAAGATTTTCAAACTAAAATGAATATTATCAGAAAGGGTTTGTGGATATTTTTTAGAAATTTCACTTGTTGAAATCATGAGTCAATTGAAGCTAGACCACCATGGAAAACCTGGAAGTACTGGACGGTCGTTTCGTCCTAGTATGGGACTCCTCGGTGAAATTCCCAAAAAATCTCCACAAAACCCATTCTGATAATAATCACCTACTCACTAGTGAATGACTTCAAGAGATACTCCTGGGGTTCTACTGAGAAGCCGTTACCCGTGGAGTTCAACCAGGCCTGTTGTGAGATATCAACTCACTGAAGACAATGGTGTACGGTGGCACGACTTCGTGGATTGGTTGAAGTTAGACATTAACACCGTTGGATACCGGCTCAGTGGTCTAGTTAGTTAAGCGCCTGGCGCGAGGCTGATAAGTCCCGGGTTCGAATCTCGCGGGGTGCGGGATCGTGGGTGCGCACCGTTGAGGAGCATCATACTAGGACGAAACGGCCGTCCAGTGTTTCCAGGTTTTCCATGGTGGTCTAGCTTCAATTGACTCGTGATCTCGATCAGTAAAATGAATATTGTCAACAGATCTGAAAAGTTCAGTATTAAAACAATGCTAAGTAACTAAATATATTAATGTGTACCAGATTACAATTTCAATGTATTTCTGAATAAAGAAATTTTAAAGTATCTGGACGAACATCTTATTTCTATCTAAACACTTCTCATGACTGGTAACCAGAAAACTAGCCTATCTTCTTAAGAACTCTTGGCTATAACTCTCAAATACATATTCTTTTAATCGTAAAAGAAGAAAAGATACCTATATATTTAGTTATAATATGAGATAGTACTTCTGTCCATGTTAAACATAGTACATTAAAGTTTAATAGTAACAACTGAGAGGATCTTTTTAGAATAATTTGATCACTTGGAAAATGTTTCAATTTTTTTTTAATCATTTTGCGTTATATTAATCATGTTATTAATTCTCACTGTGTACTGAACTAATCAAATCTTACAGTGCATGTTCATGTGCCAAACCAGTTCGAGTTTTTTTTTATAAAAAACGTTCAACTGTTTACATAATGGTAAATTAAATAAACAATTTCATAATCAAGATTGAATAATTGCAAAGTTAAACACATTAATTTGATGGACATAGCTGTTTCCATTTTTGGCAACCCTATAAATATATTTAAAATGTCATTTCTTTTGGTTATAGTCAGTTTTTAAACAAAATTAGCCCAGTAAGATTAATGCATAAAAAAATTAAAGTGCATCTACTAAATTGTTTATTTAAGAGAAATCTCATTGAAATCTCAAACCGACTAAAGACAATCACTAAAAAACTGGAAGCACTGAACTGCAGTTTCGTCCGAGCACTGGATGCCTCAGTAGTGAGCGTAAACGACCTCTTCACAGAGAACCTTTGGTCTCGCACAAGAACGCTTAACATTTAGATCACTGATCCGGGATCTAATGGTTTAAAAGTCTAGCTTCTACCAGTCCATGATAGTTTGCAATCGTCTATTGTCTTCGGTGGGAATGTTCTTCTCACCTAAAACGATTTAGCACCACCGGAGCCTCGTAAGTTTCCTACCGAAGCTATTCACTAGTGAGTACACGATACTTATCAGTGTAAGGTTGTGAAGATTGAGGTTAGACTTTTGCACTATTTTGATCTACTCATGATTTCAGCGATATTCAACAATCTCAGCAACCCTATACTGACAACATAAATGTGTAGAAATATAAATATGAAACAAAGTAAAACAATTTATACTTGTATTATGATATTCCGAACATCTGTCAAGTAAGTTTTCAGTTGTTTCATTTCTAGAGATGTTCCATCTCTTGCGTCGAGCAGATAAATACTTTCGTGTATGTCTAACTTATCTCTAATAATTAAAATAAAATCACGACAATGTACACAGAGTAAATGTATGAAAATTATGAGTACATCTTATTACAAAGTAGTAGTAAACAAATTTTTATTCAGAATCATCGTAATTTGGACGAAAATTTTCAAAAAAGGACTGTGCTGTCACATTGTTATATATAAGTTATTATTTCTAGAAAAACTATGAGACAAAATCTCGAGTAAAAAAAATCTAACCGCGCAATTATGATCTCTGAAATATTTCAGAATTTAATAGTTAACATCTTAAGTAAAAATATTATTTGAAACCAGAAAGCACTAAACAACTATTTCATCCTAGCATGAAATCGCTTAGCAATGCACACCCTTGATCCCACAGAGGGTCAAACCAAGGAACTTTAGGTTTTAGTACTAACTGATTTCGGGAGGTGACTCCTGGAGCTCTAAAGGAAATCCATGATCAGTAGAATAGTTCATTCACATCGTGTGAGGCAATTATTCAAAAATGACATTGGAAGATGGTCGCTTAATATAGTGAAGTGATTAGAGTTAAAGCATAAACTGGTGGATGATAAATCAATGATCTAAAGGTTAAGCACCCTCCTCGAGATTTGAAACTTTTATATTTGATCGCTAGTGGGATAATGGGTGCGCACTTCTGAGAAGTTTAATACTAGGATGAAACAAATATCCAGCTATTCCTGGTCTTCTATGCTTGTTCAACTTAAGAGTAATCAGTAATGATGACAATAAAATTGAGTAATCTTCATAAATCCCTTATAAAGTAATAGTGAAGAATACAAATAATATCCCATATAATATAAACAACTTCAATATTAATTACGGCAAAAAGTGGATGAAAATTATCTACTAGAGTTTCTTTTCATAAGTATTGTTTATCTTAATTTGAACACAAAGGAATGAATCGACTTTCATTATTATGATTTAGAGTTCCGTGTGATTATTATAACACGTAGTTAAGAGTATAAATGAATCTGAAGTTACACTAATAATAATAAAATTTCTTTTTATGTAACCAGATCCTTTGACAAATCTAAACAGAGCGAAAACAACAAATTTTGCTGAATAAAATGAACTCATCAATCAGTCTATTTCATGACTTTTCATCCATTGCATTTAGCATAAAATTACTATGATCAATATAATTATAAACAAATATTCATGAAGTTTACATAAATATTTTCGAAATGTAACCCAAATCACATTAATAATAATAATAAGAAGAAGAAGATATAATGTGTATGTATAAACTTAGTTAAGATAGATATGTATCTATATGGTTAAAGTACTAATGCAGAGTAGAATAAATGTTACAATTAATTATAATCAAGATAAAAGAGGTTATGTAAAGGTCATGAGATTTATAACTGATGGCGTAGTCACTCAATAGGATAAAGAATAAAATCCAGCAAATATGTGAACATCAGTAAGATTATGTAAGAGAGAAATATTAGAAGACGGAAGCAATAAGGTTAATAAAAATTCATATAAGTTATTTTGACAATCCATTGCTTTCAGTGAACATAAAGTGAATATGCATTAACAGAAAACTAAAATCAATCCCTATCAAAGCGAAGTTGAACTGAAAATTATAATATATTTACAACATACACTGAAAATTGTGGTCATATATATAATGTTAATCAAACTGCGCGTGCACGATCGCGAACACGCACTGTTTGGAAGTCCCATACTAGAATAAAACAGCCGTTCAGTGCTCGCAGGTTTTCAATAGTGGTTTAGCCAAAATCAGTTCGTAACGTAAGCTTTGATAATTAAATAAAAGGTCAAAAGTGAATAAGAAGTGATAATTGGAATTACGAAAGAATTTAATAGGGAAAGAATAAGAAATTGGTTGGCACACCAACCTGGTGATTAAAATTTGTTGAAGGATATGAGGACAGATTCAAAGTTGGGACAAATTGTCTGTGTACACATAAACAATGGTAAAGACATCCATAAAATTAATAATGCTTTCTTGAAAGTTTGCACACAAATCTCTAAAAGCTATTGTACATGAACTATTTCAAGGATATTTTTCAACTATCTCTATTCCCTTTATGTATATTTTTTACACATAATCATATAAATTGGTGAATTCAATTAATTACCCGTTGGTTACAGCACACTGATGCTTCCACTCACAGTTCTTACAGTATAATATTGAATCATACTCGATAATTTCATCTTTTTTTTCATCCATCTACAGATTTTCTGATGTACTTTTTAGTATGAAATATTATTTTTTTTTACACTGCTACAAAAACTCTTTGCATTACATTCAAAATCAAAGAATAAAACATTCTGCAACTTACTGGTATTCCAGTATAATTTCTTTTAAAAACAATAAAGTCTCTTCATCATAATAAAATCCATTTTGATCTTTTTGACATTGAACCACATCTGCATGAGTTCCAACAAGAATGACGCGAGCCATTTCTGTCGGTCGTCCTCCAAACACTTAAACAATTAAATAAGATATGATTATTAAATATGAAAACATACGATTAAATTGTATTTGATGAATTATTTTTCATTCTAAAAATAACATTGAAAGTTAATTAATAGTCTGTAAATAAATAAAGATTACAGTATACCATTGTTAAATTACTTCTTGTGTCGGATTTAGTTGTATTATGAAAATTTTCAGTTTACAATAGATGTAAGTGGAAAATTACTAAAGAACCGTATTCGCTTATTTGAAATAGTGAATCACCATTACAATCGCCTTGGAGTCAGATCTTGGGCCACTGAAGTGGAGAGCCCTTTCGACAACATCGTTCAATCTAAATGGCGATTAAATAACGGGGCACCACATAAAGGCTAAACTTAATGGCTAAACTTGATTGTCAGACAATAAAATGAGCATTTGTTCTTTGAAATACACATGTAATATTTAAAAAGTAAATCTCTTGAAAAAAATACTGCCATCAAACGAATTAAATCCACCATGGGGATTAGTATTTGTTCTTAAAAAACATGTTAGACAATATGAGTATCGACAAATCCAAAATAATTCAATATATTATGCAATTACATCGAAAAAGAAAACAACAAATTCAGATTTCGAATGTCAATTACTTAACTTTGCAGGTAGCCTAGTTACCAAGTGACGAAAACTAACTTGAAAATTGGATGAACTCAATATGAAGGGAAGAGAGAAGTAAACTGAAAGCAATCAAGATAAAAACAGAAATGAAGGGACAATGAAGCTTGTAAGAGACGATTCGGAGTTGTGCAAATGATGTATGATTTTCACATTTTAATAAACCACTACGTGACAAATTGATCTTTCCCTTCTGAGTTCTCGTGCACTACAATGTTAGTCTCAGAAAGTCCTTATATCAAAAACGAGAAAATATAAACCGTTACAAATAAAAACTATGTATGTTTGTAATGTTTACTTTTGAGTTTGTTCTGAAACTATTATAAGGCTTAGAGTTAAGATCTTTAGAAGAATCGGAAATCATAAGAATGCAAGTATTACAGTTACAATGGAATTGGAAGATATAAAGGAATATATTTTAAATATTATTAAGTTCTATTCAAAAATTCATTAAAACTTCGACCATGATCAAATGAACTGCTCTCCCGTCTACAACTATCAATTTTTCCTGGGTTAATCAAAACTGAGCGAAAGAGTAAAATAAACAAGAAGTTTTAAAAAATCAAATGTCATTCTCAATCATCCTGCACTTGTAAGTGTATAAAGTTGAAAAAATAAGGCCAAATTCAGGTTAAGGTATTATTTTACTTGAGATATATATGATTTACCCTTTTATCAGATGAAATTCAAACTTGTAACCTGAAATCATATCAGTCAAAAGGTATAGCCATAGTGATACAGAAAGCAACGTAACGTGTAAATAATAGAGACATTAGGGTACATTTTTTGAAAAGACGGGATCCATAAATCGTTTTTAAAAGACATTTGTCACAAGGATTAGAGTAATATGAAAAAGAAGTTCGGAACTAGCACTTTTTGTTAGACTGACTGAGAGAAGAACAGTGTAGTGAAGAGTGATTCCGTTGTCACTACAGGGTACTTATAATAATCTAGAACTAGAAAAAAGATGACAGAGACAGAAAGTGCAGAACGACAACAGCACAAATTACTGTGATTAGTTTGTTATCTTACATGTGCTAGATTGTTTTGTAAACTATTAACTTATTGAAATCATTCAGTTGTTAATTGTCCTTAGGTTTCAAGTATTTCTTTAGATTATATATATAATAATATTAATATAATCAAAATAATAGTAGCAAAATGAAATCAGTAAAAACGTCTTGATGGAAGAAAATAATTTACATACATAAAGGTCCTTTTACAGGTATACGAGCATGAAGAAAATCAAGCCAGAATCGTACACTTCTACGTCTCCATTCTAATGAATCCATCAAGTTAAATAGCACTAAATGTATACTATCAATATCACCGATGAAATGATCATAAAAACAATAATATGATGGAAATCCAGAAAAGTCCCATAGAGTATATTCATTGGTGACTAAAAAAGGAAAAAATGTTATGCAGAAAAAAGTGAATTTCAATTTTCAATGTGATTGTTAAGTTTAATTTTCAAATATTGTATAATATTTTCAGCAATTCACTGATTTTAAATTTATTTTCCAAGGGAAAAGTGCATATATATGGATGAATTTACACATATTATGGATTCAGCTCTTTGTGATAAAGTCCTCATGAGGCGTCACAACTCTTCTAAATGAAGACCTTCTAACTTTCAGGGCAGTTTAAATGGTTTGAATCATTTTTCTGGTAAGCGTCTTTTAGCGAGTTAGTTTTCTACGGATGAGGTCGCTAACCCCATGCCCAACCCTCCTCTTTTACCCGGGCTTTCGACCGCCAGTAACTCTAGAAGAGCTACAGGCTGAGGAGTAAATTAGGAAAAGACGATGGAAATTGATAGGACATACATTACGCAAATCATCAAACTGCACCACGAGGCAAGCCCTAACTTAGAATCCTAAAGGGAAGTGGAAAAGAGGAAGGCCAAAGAACACATTACGTCGCGAAATAGAAGCAAATATGAAAGGGATGAATAACAACTGGAAAGGATTGCCCAGGACAGGGTTGGATGGCGAGTGCTGGTGGGCGACCTATTCTCCTCCACGAAGAGTAACAGGCGTAAGTAAGGGGATTCGAGGAGATTATAGGATTCTCATGGGTTAAATCGTGAGTTCAATCCATGTCGAGGATAAGACAGTTATCTATAGCAAGTAGCAGATGAGGGTTGCGCAGTATAGTGAATCAATTGAAGTTAGAGATTATTACCATTGGATGCCAACTCAGTGGTCTAAAGTTTAAACATTCTCGTGCAAGACCGAAGGTCGTGCGTTAGATCCCCGCGTGCGGGCTCGTGGATGGAGAATCCTGAGGAATCCTGTATTAGGATGAACCGAGCGTTAAGTGTATCTAGGTTTCAATAGTTGTTTAACTGCGATTAGTTCGTAATTTGAACCGTGAAAATTCGACAGTATCCACAAATTTGCTGTACTAACGTTGTATATATGGAAGTAAAATAATAAAATATTTATGGATTGTTGTCTATATACAAGTGACTTACTATGAACATCAATTCCATGCGTATAATTTTCATGTTGCGCTTCTATATCCCACAAATATGGATAAGTATGACGATATACACCAGATTTCGGACCTAAATTAGAAAAGAACATAATTAATTGTAATTCTTGGAAAAATTAAGATTTTAACTAACATCTATCAATTGAATTTAGATATGACGATCAAATTTACCAAGCGAATTCTATCAAATTTCTGCTGATTGGTCCAAGATTATTGTGCTCGTTTAAAACCTTTGCGTTTTATATTCAATCTTGTGCTAGATCTTGGATATATGTAGGTGAGTAGCTATGAACTCGGATAAAACAGTTTCCTAGTTTTCCCTAGTTTTTTTATTATTTAATTGGTTTTAGTTTATTGCAAGAGGTACAACTGTTTAATGATTTTCTGAATAGAACTATGTGAAAATAAAAACAAACCTTAAAAATATTGCCAGAGTTTGACAAAAAACAATCACACTAAAAGACTAGGAATAATGAATCTTGGTTTTAAGGCAGTCAGTGAAACTTTATAGTCTAAGTGTGTTTCCATATAATTTACAAATATATTCAGCAATCTAAACAATAGTGAATCGACACAACACTGACATTAATTAAATCCAAAGACGATAAGTTAGCATCCATTAAAGAGGCAAAATTACATAAACTATTGGAAGCCTAGTATCAATTCAATAATGAACTAATACAGTCCAAATGTGACTTATATTTAGAGTCTAAAAAATAACCAAACTACAAATATAGTTCACTATATATATGAGCGAAATTTTATTTGATGCCAGTACTTTCCTATTTGGTCTTGGTACTTTTTCGGTGTATCAAGATCAGGACATTAAACTTTCTTACTAAACACTATCTTAATCCATTCTGCACACATAAAGCTATACTGTTGGCAACACTAACGTGAAAACATTTACTATTCACACCTTGAAGTAATGTATACAGTCTGTTTAATCTCTTCCTTAAATATATGAACAATATCTTCTAGAACGCATCACTATTCTGTACGGTCCGGGAAGTGATTATCTTAACCTGAGGCCTAATAACTTAAATAATTATTTCTTAATCATTTAGTTTATCAACGACAGAAAACGACTGAAATCCTTTGGTTTAAGTTCTCGATTAATATCTTTCGTTTCATAATTAGTGCAAAAAAAGCTAACAAAGGAAACATTCACAGAACTAAGAAAATCAAGATTCAATAGTTGTGTCAGCAAACAATGTGTCATTTGAATAAGATCCAAGCGAAAAAAATAACTTTCGCTTTTTTCATCAGTCTTTCGAACAAAAAGGAAAATCACTAAAATATACAAGAATAATTTGGTCAAATAATATCCCTCTACAATTTTATCCCTAGACAGAAAACTAAATTGTAATCTGAATCATTTGATTCTATAAAGAAAAATCCATAAATCACATTTTACCCAAATAAACCAGGGTATAATTCTGATTGACTTCACATTCAATGGCCTTCACAGTTAAGCTTATTTTTTCAAAATGGAAATCTTATCTCTTTAAATCAAAGTGAAGAGGAAATTTGGGAAGAATTTAAGAGGGGCATTTAATCCCTAGAGAATTTACCGCCTATTCATTAACAAGTTTAAAAAAGTCAATAATGTTAAGAAATGGATAAAGATAACAAAGAAACTATTCTTTGTTTCAATAGTGAATTATGCATTTACTTAAAGTTATTTTATTGTATTTAAATGTAGGATTGTATCATTAGATAACAACAAAAGTATTGCGTAATTTTGGTAAAAATACAACTGTTCAACTCAGGTATTATAATCAAGTCTAATGAAATGTTGACTCTCTTTTTTTAACAATCATATAATGTACTTCAGAATATTTCACAAAAGTAATCCATAGTATATGTGAACGTGATTCAAGTGATTTGAACTTGTGATTAAAACAAAAGAGATTAGTCAAGTAAAAGGTAAGTGAAAACTAATGTTATTTTTCATAGTACACTAATAACATACAGAGAAATGTTAAATATCGAGCATGTGACTGTGATTTAAGCCTAATATGGAACGTCTCAGTAATGGATAATCGCGACCTCAAGTAAGATTGAACGTTGGATCTATATCTTACACAATAAATGAGATACTAATCATTAATGGTTGTGGATATAATAAATGGTGACTTAAGTTGGTTAGCTACATAGTGCGAATGTCATCCAATGTTATGAGTGAGGTACCATATCACTTCCGACTTCAATAACCCTGAAGATCGTAGCTGCGTCATAAAATCGTGAACTTTTTCTTTTAACTGAATTTTGTGGGTATAAAAGTAGAGAATGTGCATATATGGACGTGTTGAGTGATTAGCAGTAGTCAGTAGGAAAGCCTGAAGCAGGATTTCGTGCTAGTTGACGCTCATCAACAAGGTGTATCTAAATTCTTGATGTGATTACTGTCACTTAATGCATTGGGACAGGGACACCCAGTTTCACAGCCTGAGAAGTCAACACTAAACTATTTAAACCATGATTAATCATCTGTAGGACTGGCTAGTGAGAACCCTCCAATTTGATAAAGTTCGATCAGTAAAAGAGGATTTAATAAATATGACATTTGTCATTACTCAGTGATCAATCAATAGTATTTATGGAGATTATAAAAGTGAAATATTAATTATATAAACCAGTTAACTTTTGAAAATAGATTATTCATCAGTTGTACTTTTTTATAGAAAGTTATGAGTGAATAATCTAAAGTGAAATGATTCCACACAAAATTGTACATAATACTTTTTCTCCCATTTTCGTGTACATAATACTCCAATAAGATGTCTTTATTATCCACGTTATTAATTAATCGTTTCTCAACAGAAAAATATATTTAACTTTCGATTTCATCTATATAATTCTTGTAAAAATTTCATCATGTAATCTAAGATGTTTGACACTAAGGACTCAGTAGCTGAGTGGATAACGCGATGTCGTTTGAAGCGAACGGTACTGAGTTCGAGTCCCAGAGTGAACATCACTTCTCTGAGATGGAGGTACATCCAGCTGACGAGTCTCAAACAGGACGAAACGCGCGTCCTGGATTCCACTGCTAGCCACTATCCATCTTTGCTTACAAATAGCTTATGAATTAAGGTAATATCGAGGCATACGTACAGTATACATATATGCCAATAACAGACTGATCAATTGCAGTCTTAAACTTCAATGGGAAGATACAAGCCAAACAATACCAAGCGAATGTTTGACACTAAGTTAAACAAATAATCAAGATTTTTTTTAAAATTTAGTCTGTAAACTAACTTTTCCAATCAAAAATGATCACTTTCTAAAAACAAATACTACGTACGTAAATTGATTTTGAACAAACAAAAGTTCTTAGGTTTTATTTGTTAAACATTAACTCCAGTTAGTATTTCATTGAGATTTCATACTAACTAGCATGGGAGATCGCCACAGCCAAGCTTTTGATCAAACAAAATTAACCTTTTGGTTTATCTTAAAACAATGTTTTCTAATTACTAAATCTTTAACTTCAGAATCAATTGTTGCTACAACACTTGTTTAAGAGGTTTAAAATTTACAGAATACCAAGTACGTCACTCATAATCATATTGTTTAAGCTGAAAATATCATACACAATTTCCTAATATCTATTCATGATGAATAAAAAATTCTCATTTCCAAAGTCTTTTCAGTTACAGTTTATCTGTTGAATAAATTAAAAGAAATACTTACTGACTTCTCCAGTTAAACCGGCAAAATCTGTTAGTTTCTTTTTTAAATATGCCGATATTGGACCAGTATAAAGAGAATGTGTTAATTGAGTTTTACCAACAAGACTTGAACCAAATAATTTAAGCTTTATTCTTGGCATACGATGTGTACCTTGTCTTAATTGTTCAATCCAAGCTGTACGTTTTTCCTTGTAAATTTTTAGTATTAATTATAATAATGAAAACGAAATGATTAGAATTTCAATTTGGGTTAAATTATTTAAAATGAAGACGATGTAAATGATGCAGTCGATACGTTTCACTGATTCGATATGTACACGTTAAATAATGAATATTATTAGATCATCTAATTTTTTTCTAATATTCAGAAGATTTTCTGAAATTCAGAGTTATATTGTACCACTAAACCATAGTGAGAAGTACATATCTAAGTAGCAGTGCCTATAACTAGCGAGCTTAACTGTAACATACTTAAACGTCATAAAGACGTAGAAATAAACGTGTTGGTGGTACGTAACGAGTGAAACTGTATCACACTTTACGAATATTTATAAATATATATGTAAATTTAATAGAGAAAGAATTACTGTATGCTTAAGGAAATTTGATCGATTGTTTGACTTAAAATGATCAACGTGACCTGGTGATAACTGCTCATACATCCAGATTACTGACGTACATAATCATGAAAAGACTAGATAACATGATAGTAAAATATTCCATGTTACAAAACTACACAAACGTATTCTAAATATTCTGTACACAAACACATGACTAAAATCTTTTTGGGACGTAAGTGGATCTCGTATTCAGACTTCATAGGTTATTTGCCAAATTAAAAAATTAAGGCTTTATCACAAGGCTTATTATGTATTAATCCCATTTTAATCTATACTGAAAACCACTACAGTAATAGTCATTTTTGTGTTGGTTTGTTTATTATAATAAACGTAGTTGTACAGATATTCACTAATTTCATAGGATCTGTATTTACACTGTCTGCTATGTCGCCTACTTTGACTTAGCATTTTTCTATTCCCTAGTATGCTTCGGACACCATACTCCACTCGACTGTTCTCTAATTCAAACGCCCCCTAGGCAAGAACACAACTGTATTCCACCAAGTTAAATTAGGTTTACACAGTAAGAAAATGTCAGTGTATTTGTAATTTTCACTTCTCCGCTTATTCACGAAGGCTGATTAGTTAACAATTGGTCAATAAGCATATTCCAACGTAATCCTGTTAGAAACACGCTTTAATCGAATTTCTATCTTGTTAAAACTGTCCAAAGTGAGCTAACTTTTGATGACAACAACTAATAATAAACACAAAACATACAGTTTAAATAGCTGGCTTCAAGTTTAACTGCATAGGGAAACAATGATGTTTAAAGGTGCATTATATTCATCATCAATATTCTAATTCCGTGCAATTTTTCTAATTTATAAATTTAATGAAGTCGAAAATGACAATCGTAGTAGAATAATAAAAATCAACGAAGTATTATTCTATTACCATTGTTGTTTCCGCTCTAATACAATATTTTAACTGATATAATTTTATGAAAGTAAATATCCGTTTTAAAAGTTTAAAAGGAATTTAAACAGTAAAACAATGGAGTAACACTAACTTATATAATTTCATTTATATTCCGGTTGATTGTTTACAATCCTTATCAAATCACGGACACATTTCAAATATATTTTAATTCATCAGAATAAGAACGGCCGTCCAGTGCTTCCAGTTTTTCCATGATGGTCTAGCTTCAATTGACTCATGATTTCAACAAGTGAAATTTCTAAAAATCTCCACAAAACCCCTTTTGATAATAGTCAACTGCTCACTAGTGACTGACTTCAAGAGATACTCTTGGAGTTCTAGTGAGAAGTCGTTACCAGTGGAGTTCAACCAGGTATGTTGTGAGATATCAACTCACCGAAGACAATGGTGTACGGTGACGCAACTTTGTGGATTGGTTGAAGTTGCGGGATCGTGTATGCGCACTTCTGAGGAGTCTCATACTAGGACGAAACGGCCGTCCGGTGCTTCCAGGTTTTCCATGGTGGTCTAGCTTCAATTGACTCATGATTTCAACAAGTGATATTTTAATTTATGAAAACTCTAACTGGTGAAATAAATCGTTATGCGAATTTAATTATAATTAGTTAAGTAATCTTTTGGAAATGTGTCTTCTATTACTCACAAAAGAATATTTTAAATATTGTATCGTAGAACCAAAACATAGGAACAAAAACCAAACTAATGGGAGACACAACCAAAAAAAGAAGTAAACAATGACAAATTGAAGGTCAACAAGAACCAATCAACATCGAGGTGTACAGGACAAGCTGTGAAACACATATAGAGAAATTCGAACGCTTCACTTCTATCTGAAGTTTGTGCTGATAATGTCGTTCAGAAAAACAATGAAAGCTCCACGACCAAACCATCGAGCTCGGAGAACAAAACTCCATCAAAAATAGTAGGACCCAATTAAACTTCGTAAAGTAAACCATAATTAAATATTGTCAAAACTAAATGAACGAACATAACAATAGCATATTTGCAAACAAACTTTACTTCTTACATAAAATAATGAATAGGTGTAGTACTAAGCATGCTAAAACTAGGTTCTTAGAGGTTAACACATACCGGTTTCATTTTTGTTAATAACATGCCAACTTTTGAATGACCTTGAGCATATGCCATAACATCTGGTGTTATACCATTCTAAGAAAATGAAATGAACAATTGAATAAAGAAAACTCACATTTTGACTTGAAAAATTTACGTTCTGAGATAGATTGACGAGCATTTATTCTCTCAATAATAATTAGACATTGTAGTTTTATGAATAACATACGTACCCGGTCAGTAAGTTTAGAGCAAGGTGAAATCTTGATGAATCATCCACCTGAGCTACAAATCTCCACCATCTCAAGGTGAAATCTCATACAAACGTGCTTTGGTACTAGGTAGTAGACTGTTTATTGGTAAAGTAAGATATAAATGAATGATAAAATTGCTAGCTAGTTATTACCAAACGAAGCTGAATATCTATTCATGTAAGATTTAATCATAATTTTTTGTCAAACATTAAAGATATGAAACTTGTGACGTTTTTAACTGAATGCTTTATACATATGTTCTCGAAAGTACCAATTATTTTTCAGGTATCATTTGGAAAATATTCACTGAATTTGTAATCTTGTCATTTTTACTACAACAAATAGAGGGAATTTCATTTCTTTGAAGTTTATTGTTATAACTTAATACATGTTAATCCGCTAACTGATAATCTATTATTGAATATTAGCCATTAAACACTTCCATTACTTTTACATCATGAATCTATTGAAGTTTTACGTACCAGCTCAGTGGTCTAGAGGTTAAATGTTAGTGCACGAGACCACAGTTCCTGGGCTTGATTCCCGGATGGAAGGTTGTGGATGCGCAGTGCTGAAGAGTATCATGCTAGGACGAAACGGCCATCTAATGCTTTCAGGTTTTTAATGATACTCTAGCTAAGATTATTTCATGATATAAACTACAAATAGATTTATCTAAAATTTTACTTATTTCGTAGGTGGCATCCATCACAGTGACCTCGTTTGAGGTAACATTAAAAACTAAGGAGCACTGAGGATTTATTTTATTCCAGTACAAGACTCTCCAGTGGTGCACACCAACAAAAACAACCATGGATAGAACTCACGAACAGTAGGTCTCACAGAGAACACTTAACCATTAGAACCATTCGTCCGAAGTTGAAAGGCAGAATTTCTACTTTCATCAATTTATGGTATGGCACGACGATCATTCTTACCTGATCTAAAGAATATTTTTTTCAAAGTACAAAGCGATATTAACAAGTCAGGAAAAAATAATTTATTCTGTTACAGAGACAACTTACACGACTTGTAATACTAGGATCAGCACCAGCTAAGATAAGACAACGAACAGTCCTTAAATGTCCATTTTTAGCTGCCAAATGAAGTGGAGTGAATTCCGACTGAAAGAAAAAATAATTACCACTACCGTTTATTTCCGTCAATATCATTGTTCATGGCTATATCATTAGCATTTAAAAACAAGGACGTTTATTAAATAGCACCGAAGTTAAACATTTTTAAAATTTTTTTTTAGATTTAAGGACAACCATCTTAGCATAAAATACTAACTTATCATTATAGACAATTGAATAAATATATGGACTATGATTGATTATGTTATCTAGCTTGTTAATCAAAAGCGAATCATTCAGATTGTAAATGATCAAAATCTCATTTTGATAATACGTATGTGAAGACTATTTTAATTTGACTCACAAAAGTTATGATATTTACTTATCTCTTAAAAAAAGTAGTGTGTAAATAAAAATCTTTCTCAAAACGCTAATTATCTATCAATATTCTAAATTTATGGCGGTTCAATTTTTTTCACGGAAAAAGTGGTCAGTAGTAATTGATTTTTCACCAAACTGCATCAGGAGGCAAGCGCTAACTTGGAATCCCAAAGTGAAACGAAAAAGAGAAAGGCCAAAGAATACACTGTATCAGGAATTGGAAGCAGATATGGAAAGGATGAATAGTTAATAAACTCTCGTTCATTCTTTTTTTCCAAAGACTTCGAAAGTTATCAACTTCAATGCACTATTAAAATTACATTTCATTCAATATTATTTCACAATTCACTTCAAGGTAGTGAATAAATATAATGCGTTTGAAAGTTCACTGTGGCCTATATAACCAGAAATGTGTCTGTATTAATTAGCCATGCAACTTATGAGAATTCGAGGGGGAGCACAGATATTCAATAACGAACTTCATTGACAGACGATCCAAGTATACATGACTTAGTAAACGACCAGATTTCTGACTTATTACAGAAAGTTGTTTTACCTTCGCTGTGAGTATAAAAATGAAAATATATATTGATATCATGAAATCACTTAAGCTAGACATTCAATGGAAAAAGGAAGCTCTAGACATCTATTTTGTTCTAGTATGGGACTTCTTAGTAATGCGCATCCACAAACCCTTCATAAGGAATTGAATCCAAAAGTTTCAGTCTCGCGCAAGAACCTCTAGACCAGTGGACCGGAATCCAAATGTTTATATGTATAACTTCAGTCAGTTCACAATATTGCACAGTTACCTTCACTGTTCTCGTCGTGCAACTACTTCACTTCCAACACATTTGAACTCGATTGGTCATGGCTTCTCATTGGAATTCTATGATTATCTATCGAAATTGATTACTGGAGAGCACGAAATAATTATTAATGCTTCCTGTCTTTCAGTAGACGTTTAGCGTAGGTCTTTCCATAATATTCATAACATTCAATCATCTTCAAAAGCCTCTAATACGGACAGAAAGATTATGTTTCTTTTTAATATCATACAAGCTTCTTGGTCACAATTTATATTGCAATTACAAGTGAATAAATTAAGATCGGTGGAAATGAAAAAAAATTGATCAAAATAATTAAGCGTTATTGCCAAATACTGGTCAACAGTTTTTCGAACTGTTACTTCAGTTTACATAAACTGTTGAAAACCGCTAAATTAATAAAGATGTTGGTTTAATACTGAATAAAAATAAGGCAGTTTTTTCACAACTACTTATTATCACTTCTAAAAATAATTAATCCAGTTAGAATACATTGATTTTAACAAAACTACGAAGTTTATAGTGAACAATTTAAAACAAGAACACAAAACAATGTATTGTAATTATAGATCTTACTGTGTTGAAGATATCAACATTTGATACCGCCTTGGAAAGCAGTTTAACAATAAGATAGTCTCCTTGAATAGCAGCAAGATGAAGTGCAGTATTACCTTCCTAGAATATGGAGAAAATGTTGATAAATGACAAAAAATGGAACAGTAGAAATACTTTGAAATCCTTATGGATTGCAAGACATCAAACTTTGAAATACTAGTAAAGCTGTTTCTTAATAGCCTTCAACAGCTGCTTTCTGCTTTTATGATTTTCCAAAAATACAACTATTAAAAGATATGCTCAGTAAATAAATATATAACGGGAACTAAGTATGTTAAAAATAATGTATACTGGATTTTCCAGTATTTTCTTTTCGGTGATGAATTTACTACATTCTGAATATCAACAATACTGATTAATTAGGCCAAATCCCTTTTCAAGGATATTAACATTTTCTAAGTACAGTATATGAAAATATGACATTCACTAAACAAAACGCAATAATCTAACTGGAATTTCTATCTGAGTATCAAAATAAAAATGACGATTGATCGAATTTCAATATACCGGTTATGTAAGTCACAGATTTAAACACCAAATTGAAACTGAACAAAGTAATAACTAAACAACATTTTGCAAAGAATCAAATCTATGGAACTAATAGATAGTTTAGGAGTACTAACGATGTTGGTCTAATTGTATGTAAATGGTAGTAATTTTATATACAGACTGAGTACAATAAATCCAGTTCTGCATTTTCAATGACTAAGTTCATTAATATTGGTATTTGCCGGTGTCTGTTTACAGTGTACAGATATAATAAAATCATATGGATAATAATGATGATGGGACTTTAAAAATCATTTATTACCTGTATTTTTTAAACTTTGGCAGTTTCTATTAAATTAATAGTTTTAACTGTGATTAGGCACTCTAGAAGAGATATTCATTTTGATAACAAAATTTATTGTAAATTAGAACTTAGCAGTGATTTTTTTGAGACAGGAAATCCCAACAAAATAATTTGGGAGTAAAAGCGAAGCGTATTCCCCAAACAATTTCTTGTCTGGGTATTTTGAACAGACAAAGACAAACTATTCGATTATACGAATCGAAAGCAATCGAAAAACTGAGGATATATGCCGTTTCTTATGTCAAGGACAATGAATTGAAGAAAGAAGTCGCTGTAACTTGATATATTATTACTAACTTGGAAGATAAAATTAACTTAATAAAAAACAAATCGCTGTATGATATTTGCCACCGACTATTGACTGATTAGTAGCCATATAAAATTCAATGTGGCATTCATGATAACGGGTAATGTTCATACTACAATATTTACTGAATCCAAAAAGTCAGGTTGTCATTTTACTCATAAAGTTTGAAAAAAACGAGCACATTTGCAAAAAGGTCACTTTATCAAAAAAGGGAATAACTCTATGTAATCCAAATATTAAAGTAAGTTAACTAATTCAGGTGGAGTTTTGTTCTCTGAGCTGTGAGTCATATGTGGCGAAATTCGAACAATTCACTTGTACCTGAAGTTTGTGCTGATGATTTTGTTTAGTAGAACAATTAAAACTCCATGACCAAACCATCCAGCCCAGAGAGAAAAAACTCCACCAAAATTATTCACCTAGGTTACAAATCTTCCCAGCATCTCAAAATTAACTAATAAACTGGAACACATTTTGATACGACAAAGGAAAAAGATACTGTATTTAAGGGAAAACGCGATTTCTTATATGTATAGATGTTCTTATTTACAATCATTTGGCGTCAATTATGGTACAAGTAAAGATGCTAAGATTATTTGCTTTTAAAATTGAGTACTAATTAAAAATGTCATAGAAACTAGATACAGAATAATAAGTAAAATGAAAAGCTTTGCATATCCTGAAAACAATTGTAAATAGTTTTTGAAATAGTAGGTCAATAGAATGGAAGATATCGGATAATTTACTAAAATGGTAGAAAAACAGGCGAATTTCTTCTTTTCTGTATATTTAATTGAAGAGTTTCTTTGCAAATATCAAGGTATTTAGCAGTGCAGAAAAGAAGCACATATATGTCTTTCTTCTTTGTTCAAGTTATAGATACTTTTTAAGTAATAACTACATCGTAATCTAACGGTCTTTATTAGCAATATGTTTGCTTATAACACTACGTTTTAACCGCGTTCACTTAGGTATAGCCGTTCAAGATAATGTTCATATACCCTTTTTGAAGGAATATGTAGTAAATACTAACTAAGCATAACTTCAAAGAAACAGTTTATTCACCACACATAACTCACAACAGAAAAACCAAAAGATGTGATCTCATTTAACAAGTGAACAATAGGTATCATCAAAATGTCTGCGAATTAAGGCACAATCACAATGGTCAAAATAGACAACAACTTATTAAAGCCATGAGATCACAATTATAGGCTGACTACCGGTGATTTCAATTATAACCCTACCACAAAGTACTATTTATCAGATGTGCCTCCTTGTAACAGTTCCTTCACATGGAATGTTAGCAATTTCATTTTTAACTAGCTTGCAAAGAGAACAAACAGTTTTCTGAAAACCCCAAATTGGTAACAAGTGTTTCAGTGGTAAGTGGATTCAATCGCCTCTTATATGGTAGGTAAAAATAAATTTTTAAGAACTTTTATAACGTGAAAAAAATATGCTGCTGAAGGGGGAGAAAATTTTTTATCGGACCAAAAACGCGCAAACACGTAAAAAGCCCTAGGGTTTTTGATCGGTCTCGCTTCCCTGTCTAGCCCAGTTTTTTGAGTCCAAAACACAAGTCTCACCCTCTGCGATATAAACCATGTTTTTCAAAAATACTCTTTTTAATACCAATCAAGCAGACCACAACGTACCATAAAATAGAAAATAACATTGTACAATATTGGCCAACAGTAAAATGACACGTTATATAAATATTGACCAATAAGATTATAGCATTTCATGTCCAAGGATAGCATTAGGCTTAACAGGATAATTTTTAGAATATTTTCCTGAATATCGCAACAGGAACCCACTGATATACACGTTATACTTCAAGAATTCACATTATCGTTTATCATTTTCATGGTAAAACTATTCAAACGAATCGAAAATTCGAGCAAAATAGAAAACTAGACTACTTATTTTCTTGGCTAGTTCGTTTTGAAATAATTCAATTTTATTCGCATTGTTGATAAGCTTAGGAAATTTTATGTAATTGAAATGCAGAAGCGTATCGGTTTTTTTTTAGGATCAATGTAACCCTTTAACCGTTTATGATGTTTAAGACAATATTTCATTGGAATGTAATCAACTTTTAATTCTGTATTATATTAGTCATAAATGACCAATTCAAAGATTAGACTTCTTCGAATTGTTAAACTGTCAAATTAAACGTAAAATCTGGTGTTCATTGAGTTTAAACAACACGAAAAGGAAAAAGTCTCTCTCCGTCAAAATGCTAACATCTTAGGAGAACAAATCTTTTAATGTACATATTTATTCATGTTTTTTTTAAATAAATTTTAATATATTCCACAGTTACTACATCATTTTAATCTTCTCATTTTTACTACTTTTCCTTAGAAATCTTTCTTACCTCATCTGTAATATCAACCCTTGCACCAGCTAGCAGAAGAACACGCACACAACTCTCTGAACTAGAGATTACAGCGCACAACAAAGGCGTTTTCCGATCCTGTTAAACAGAAATAAGGTTGATAAAGATTATTGAGATGATAGAGAATAGTTGAATACGGTTTTTTTTTTTGCACAACAAGTATGTTTGATAAGAATGCAACTCAATGACTTTCATAGTTTCAATCACGAATTAATCTTAGTTAGACCATCATTGGAAACCTGGGAGCACAACTCCGTATCCAGGAGTCAACGTAGGATCGTGGATGTGCACTGCCGAGGAACCACATAATAGGACGAAACGGTCATTCATTGCTTCCAGATTCTCGATAGTGGTCTAGTTCAGACCAGTACGTGATTTAGACTATGAAAACTTTACTATTTCTATGAATCCCCTTATATTAGTAAATCAATAAATATCAACGCATCGCATAGTGAATCGTAATTATACCTACTACTATATGATTTATATTAACTAACTAAACAAATTGAATTTGAGAAATCTTAAACGAAATATTTACTTTGTTTTCAATACAAGGAAACGTAAATATAACTTCGGTTTTCCCCAAAAAACATATGAACAATACAGTAAAATCAGTAGATGCAGGATATATATCATGTATACATTGTCTTCCTTATCGTCTTGAAGAGAGTAATAACAAAGATTTAAGTCGAATGATATGAATTCGTTTTACTCTGTTAGGTTCAGGTTACGTGCTTACAATCGATGATACTTAAAAATCATTATCAACCAAATAAATTGAAAGCACTTACACAAATTAATAATCATTACAATTTTGATCTTAGGTCATTGTTTTCAATCATAGTAAACAAAACATCTAAACATAGTGTTATACAGTAGAAATAAATGCAGAAAATTTAATTAGTATAAGTGATTGTTTATCAGCCATACACAAAACAGAAGAATTCTTTTTAAATATAGACAAAAAGAAAAGAAGGAGTCTGAGAAAGAAAACAATTACTGATAGCGTGATGAAGAAGAAGTTAATCCAAATGGAAAGTGATGAATAGATAAGTGAAAACATAAATACCGTCGAAGAATAATTACAATAATATTTAATCAGGTGATCTGTGAAGATTAACTACAAAAATTAAAAATAATGTTTTCTTCATCATAGACAAAAAATATACGGAAATGTAATGAACACCTGAAAACCGCAACGATAAAGGCTCTAACTTTGCCAGTAAATGGTGCCAATATAAATTCCACAAAGTGCATCTATTATTGTGGACATATTTTGTAAAATACTATTGAATCGAGAGGTAAGAATGCTAGCATACAACATTCAGTTAGCTCAATATCTGACGGCATCAGGTTATATTTCATGTTTATCTTGACGCTACAATTAAAACGACACATTCGTAAGCTAAATTGAATGTAAAAAATTTAGTAAGCACTAATTAAATATTAATTCCATTTACTTTATTGCGAACTTCTAGAGGACCATCAGCATTGCAAAGTGACAATGCTACATCTGGGTGCTTCGTTAAACATGCCAAATGTAAAGGTGTATTGCCATTCTATTAAGAAAAAAACGTTATGAAATAATAATGACATTAAACAAATAAATAATTTCAAAAATACTGAGTTACTAAAATATGATTTTAACCGATAAAACATGACAATCAATTTTTTTAGTTACAAAAATAATATCATTTTGAATGGTTCATCATGATGTTTAATGAATAGAAACTTTCATGTAATAATTAACAGCTGGTATATTCATTTTTTAATAACAATAAACTTAAAAATAGTGTGGAAGAATGATTGATATATAATGCTACCAAAGCTACGAAAGAGAGTAGTTGTTTAGGCTATAAAATTCTTCAATAGTTGAAATCATGAGTCAATTGAAGCTAGACCACTACGGAAAACCTGGAAGCACTGAACGGCCGTCTTGTCCTAGTATGGGACTCCTCAGCAGTGAACATCCACGATCCCGCTCCCCTGCGAGATTCGAACCCAGGACCTATAAGTCTCGCGCGCGAGCACTTAGCCATTAGACCACTGAGCCGTCATCCAACGGTGTTAATGTCTAACTTTAACCAATCCACGAAACTGAGCCACCGTACACTGTACGCCTCTAGGACGAAACGGCCGTCTAGTGCTATCAGGTTTTTCATGGTGGTCTAGCTCCAATTGACTCATGATGTCAGCTATTGAAATTTCTAAAAATTTCCACAAAACCCCTTCTGGTTATAAAATATTTCTAACTTATGAACTAACAGTATTAATCTCTCTATACAAAAGAAATTTACAAATTATTCATTCATATACATGGGTCTTACATTTCTACTTCATGACTTGTTCTATTGATTATTATGATTATTATTATTATCCATCTTAAAACAATAATAACCAATCACATCGTTTTTAAAATTATAATTAATACTGGGAAACAGGTATGAGGACGGAATAGGAGGAAGACTGAAAAAAGCCGTTCACTAATGGCGGAGGCCGGTGGGATGTATAAATTTAAACTGCAATTGTTTTAATGTTATTTTGTATGCATATTCTTTTTAAGTGTTGATCGAGGCCTATAGAGCAAGTTGAAATGTGACCGCTGGTCAGTGACTTGAAATCGCATGTACTATATTGATATATCGGTTGGTTGGAGGTACTTGACAAGAAATCCTGTACTTAGGTTCCAAACTATCCAGGACTCGACAGCACGATCTACCTGGAATCTTGCTGTAACTGGGACTACCTGGAAGATTTGATCTCATGTCACTTAATTTCACAATCTAAAATTTTAGCATTGAGATATTTGGTCTGCAACTGTAATATCTACAATTGACTGATCACTGAGTAGCAACTAATATAGTTTTTATCTATTCCTTTTAGTGCTGATCGAAGTTATTGAACCAATTTGCTAATAATACCGTTCTTCTAATCTGCAGGATAATTTTCACAACAAACAAACAGCTGAAGAATTATTAAAATTAACTTAACATTGGACTAGCTATTATAGCCTAATTTGAGACTTCAACAGTATGCACTGACAGCCTAAGGAAACTACTGACTCTAGTACTTCAATGATTAGTGCACTCAGGCCAAGAATTAGTGTTTATTTTTAATTGTCTAATGCTCTCTGGTTTTCAAAGGTTCTTCATTTTATTCAATATTATTGATGAGTAACTGTCTCACCCCCAGATTAGTTAACTTCACATATCAATAAATATTCACGTAATCAACAGGGATATAATTTACTGGATAATTTAAAGAACGAAATGATGAAGTGATTGGTTCTGTATGTTCATCAGCAGTAAGTTACAAAAATATGAGGATTACAGTGAAAAATCACCAGAATAGCCTCTAACCAATTAAATATCTTATTGAATATAAGAATAAACGTAGGCACTAACTTATTATATGATGAAGAATAGATAACTGATTAAAAAATACTCAAAAAAAAACTGAAAAATTTCGAAAACTTTGCTACCGTATTCCTCACCACGTTAATTAATCCTAACTAAAAATTTTATTAGTTTTCAATAAATCATTTCACAGAATAAAGAACATGCACTGTTCTCTGGTTAACAAGTATTAAATTCAAGTACCATGGTGATGAATTATTCAAAAAACAATATTTACCATACGAAATTGTTACCGTTCTATACGTACTACTTATAGATCAAAAGCAATATATAGCATCGTTACTAAGCCCGAGCGTGTACATTTTTGAACTGATTAGGCTACGTAAACTAGTCCACTGTAGATAAAAATGTTATTTTAGTCCTTAAAAGTTTGCCTTATGCTTCTTGTATGTGCAACACATAACTTTGTGAGTGTATCCACCTACTTTTCTATTCGTCTCACTGGCTTGAACACTAATTACTTAAACTATACACTCTCTGTCTTCCCTTAAACTATGAGATTAAAATTGCTTTATATCTTTCTTTCTACCAACCAATTCTTTCTTCCTGTACTATATCATTAAATGCAATCTTTTTTATATATTACCACCATTGAATTAAATACTTCTATGAATTCGGTGTTCATCTTGTTGTGCTGATGAGGTGTGACAACTTGGACCGATGCATAAATGTGCCTGGTCCTAAGTTGTAGTTGACTGACTGACTGAATTACTTTAACTATTTATACTGAAGTGACAATGACTCATCTATTTATACGTTTATTAGAATGGTAAGTGATTCACTCTCCTATATTATTATTTGCTCGCTTATCGCTTCATTTGAGATATGCGCCTGAAATTAATTATTCTAGCTACTTTGTTTCACTCGCTGTGGATTCATACACTAGTTAGAAGTTATCGTGATAACTGTTATCCGAGCAATTGGTAAACGAATAACACAATAACCTCGCCACAGGCCACTACAGACAAATAAATAATTCCACATAATTGAAAACTTAATTAGCTAAAAACACGATCACCACACTTTAAGATTAAAATATATGATTTAAAGTTCATGCAAATACTTTATGCTCAATGTACCGGGTTGACATCAACAAATTTAGCTATTTTTACTACTTCAAGTAGTTATTAAACATACAACTTTTAGTAAAACAACGCATTTATATTTAAAAACTGCCATACCATGGTATCTCAACAGAACTTTCAGAAAATTACTTGATTTAAATTTGACAAACTTGAAAAGATTTTGGAATTTCAATATTTCCATTCATACATTAGTAGTATTTAGATCATATATTAAAAACTGCAATTAAGTTATATTGTCTTATCGATTTTTTAAGGCTAACGATTTATTAGAGAATGCAAGCTAAGATGATGAAAGTGTTGTTTACCTAGTTTAGATTATGGACTGACCTTGACCTTGGATAACAACTGAGAACAAGAAGATAGTGAACAGCTGCTTCATCCTAGTATGAGACCTCTAGGTAATGAAGATCCACAGACCCACTGAGGATGGAATTGAGGCCTTTGAACTTTTGTGACGATTGTATTGTTCTTAATTTAAAGAATCATTCTCATCGATTACTGAACGATACGCAATATCATTTTATTGTGTCTTGCCTGATGATTAAACCTTTACTGGTCAATTTGCTGTGCTAACACTAAGCTAGGAATTTTATTCTGCCGATTAGGTCAATTGACAAGAAGATATAAATGGAAATATTTAGTGATAGCCTGTATTTGTTACTCAGAGGTATCTCGAATCCAGATAGAACTGATATTCTCATCACGCGATTTGAACCAAACTAAGTTCGATTTCATTTAGTCAGAGGTATTCAGTTAGTCAGTCATTAGTCATCAGTCAGGCATTACTACAGAACTATTCAGGGAGTAGATGATTACTTGTTTAAACTAATCAATCAGTATGTATAAATAAATGTTGTTTCGATTAGTTCTTTCATTTTATCTACTCCTAAATATTATACTTTTCCAGTAAACTTAATTAAATATTAAAATAAAATTTCTAATTTAAGAATACGAGATCAAAACAAAATATTTATTTTAGAAGTTAATTTTGTCTATTATTCTTTGTTGAAATCATGAGCCAATCTAAGCTAGTCATAGTATAGGACTCCTCAACAGTGCGCACCCACAATCCCATATGCGGAATTCGGATCCAGAACCTTCGGTCTTGAGCGCGAACACTTAAGCTCTAGACAACTGAGCCAGCATTCAACGGTGTTAACGTCTAACTTCAATCGATCCACGATCTTGAGCAACCTTTCATCCATTGCTTGAGGTGGATAACTGGATGAGCACTGCTGAGGAGCCCCATATTAAGACGAAACGGCCGTTCAGTGCTTCCAGGTTTTCAGTGATGGACTAGCTTAGATCGGTTCATGATTTCAATTGTGAAAATACTACAATTTCCACAAATTCCTATACCGATAATTATTTTCTGAGCAAGATTGAATTCCCTTTGATGTAGTTTTCCAGATAAACACCAATTTCATATCACTTATGCAATTAGAAGATCGGTTCAAATAGGGATTATCAACTATACAGTTGGCACTAAATTGTTGAATCTGTGGGTTCTTTTTTTCTGTTGTTTCAAAGTCGAAAATAATTGTAAAAAAATTTCCAATCATACAAACTAATCAATTAAGTGGAATAATTAGATCTAACCACTTAGTTACATCTTATTTTGTTTGTTGAAATGTCAATCCGAAAAATATCTTACACGATCGATACAAACACGAGTACACAAACTACTATTACAGTTAAAATAATAGACTTTACCTTGTCAACAAATTTGAGTAGATTTGATCCCACATCAATAATATAGTCAACAATACGTAATAGTCCAAATTTTGCAGCTATATGAAGCGGTGTTTCACCATCCTATTTGATCAATAATAAAATAAGAGAAAATTATTTCATCTTTTTAACGAATAAATATACGAAACATAACAGTTTTATGTACATCAGTTTAATAGTAATTTTTAATTGCTTTTTTCGCTTTAAAAGCATTAAAACATTTTATGATTCTAAAAGGTTGTAAAATTAATTATTTGTATCCATTAAAGATTCATAAACACCAATGTCATATTGCATAAAAGTGGTTAATATAAAAACAAAGTCATATAGTAAAGTAAATAAATTACGTTGTTTTAATCATCGGATCGCTTGATTACTCAGATATCGTGATAATGTATTGCAAGTGTATCGGGGCGAGACAATCAGAATCATGACGGCAACTTTTGGGTTTTCACAAGAAATTCAAATACTACAGTATAACAAGCAGTGAGAAATTCTTGTGTGTACTACTCAAAACGACTAAAACGATTTAAAAGAAAGTATATTTTGTCATCACGGAGTGAAAATAGTACTGTTAAACGCACCAAAATTTCAATTTTGTCTCTGTAGATTGTATGTACCACAGAAAGCGATCCTAATCAGGAACAATGCGAAGGTCCCCAAAATTCTCTTTGAGTGCTTAAACTCACTCTGAAAGATGGACGATCTTTGTGGATCAACTTACACGTCGTTGCTTATTCGAGGTACAAGAAGAAAAACTTTTAGAAAACTATAATAGAAGAATTATATGAAATGTCCATAAGTTTAATGTTTTCTTTTCATAAACTTTTCGAAGTGACTAATAACAGCTTGAAATTTGTCGTGTTTATTTCAAAAATCGGTCAACCTCGCCTCTACACTATACTCTTACCTAATTCACTTCATTACTCTTAGTTAAAATCCTTTTTGAAAAAATATTTTTGCCTAGGTCCGATTCGATTTTTGCTTGTTTTGACCCCTTAGTAGGAATCACATAACACTTATGACATTGACTTCTCATTGTTAAAAGCATTATAGCTCCAGGAAATTCTCAATCTCCTGTTCTAGAATATTCACATAATCAATGACTTCCACAGTTCTTGTATATCCATTGTTTTTTATTGTCTAATTACTTCAAACATATTTTCAATGTCGATCAGTTGTAAACCCTATAAAATTCCATGCACTTCAATTTTTTAAAATAAAGTGAGATGACCGAAGATTTGAATGCTGAAATATTATTACTAAGCAACATTTATGTTGAATATTCCATTTTTCATCTATGTTACACACTGTATTAAAAAGAACCAAAATGCACCTTGAATTCCAATTTCGTTCAATAAAAAAATTGAATATAAAATAAAATAATCTAGCCTAACGAGAAAATTCTTCTAGATTTAAAATTCGATTATGTATACTAGTCGGATAAACTTGCTAGACACTTATCTGGTGTTAGTAGGATAATAACAAAAAACCACATTTCAGCAGGCTAGCTAGTAATAAAGGAGTCAACCTTTCTACAGACAAAAAAGACAGTAAAGGAGGTTGAGCGTTCGCGTGCAAGACGGAAGCTCCTGGGTTCGAGTCCCGTATGCGGAATCGTGGATGCGCACTACTGAGGAGTTCCATACTAGGATGAAACAGCCGTCTAGTACTTCCAGGTTTTCAATGATGGTCTAACTTACATCGACTCATGAATTCAACTATTAAAGGAAAAATTTTTTAAATAGTCGTAAAATCACATATTTTATAACTTGACACATTGAGAGACCAAAATATAGAATAATTTAAACTTAAGTTTTACAATTAGGCATGTAACGGTATTCTCCAATAAGTAAGCGTTTAAATGGACGAGTGCAAAAAGACGTGAACCAATAAAGGTGAGTATAAAATAGGGAGACTACTTAACAGTACGATAAAATAATCCAATATATATTAACTGACTGAATATTGTAAATCAAGTGTGTATGAAATGTCGTATTTAATAATGCAAGGCAGATTTAAATCTTATTTATATTTGTAAACTTATGTCGGAAGGTTTAAGTTCAAAATGTATGCTACACCGAGTAGATAGACTAGAATTGATCTACTCCTACAATCTATTTTGTTTAGTTCTCTAGAGATGAGCATATATTAACTCATACTATTTTGTTCATTATAATGTAATACAATGAATTGAACTACATAAAATCTGAGTAAACAAAGGGGTCAAGGTCCTTGATGTTATACCGGCATACGAATAAGGACACTGTTTCAGTGATTCCAGATTTGGAGTTGCAGAAAATATCAAAATCCATTTACTACCCACTTCATTACCATGTAGTAGATAATCCTCACCTATCACAATAGTCATAAATTTATAATAAGTCTTCCAACTGAACACTAGATTCGGTCCATAAGCTCTTCTAATGACCCCTAGGCTAAATCTACACAGCGACTTGAACACGAGAAAAAAGGTGCGAAATATGGAAGAAATGCTGTTCTCCAAGGTTCGTTCATGTACAGAAAATCTAGAGATTTTATAGTATTTTAGATGGCTTTGGGTTTCCGGGAAATTCTGAAACGCTACTAAACATAGTAGCAGTATAGGGCGTCATTCAATCAGAAACTCGACATGTGACTTTTCACTTTCTAGATGTTTCTGGCAAAAATTCTAGTGAATGCTGATGAGGTAAGATGTTTCTCAGCGTTTTCAGAGCCTTTTTGGCTTTTTTTCAAGGAGTTTTCTGGATCTCCCCAACAATTTACAAAGTAGAAACGGTACATCTAATGAATTCGGGTTTGGTAACGGCGCCTGATTATTATATCGTGCAAGCTGAATTATCTACAGCATCCGAATCACAAGTGAAAGTTGAATTTGCACTATATCCTCAACTTGATCTGGAACATGATTGTTTTCCGTTACCTGCTTCGTATTCACTTCATATTTCATATGATATTGTGATCTACACTTTGTTTTGAGACATTTGATACATCTTCAAATCTTTAATCATGAATCATTTTCATTTTTCTGAAAGTATAGACAATTACTACCGAAAAATCAGCATCCTTATTACATTTTACATATCCTAATTCGATTCTAATAAGGCCTAGAAAATGAAACTTGGAAAGTAATGTACTGCCTATAAGTGTAACAAGTAACATTTTGAACTCTACTTAAACAATTTATTGTGAAACAAACAGATTCGGGTTTACTTTATTTGCAATCATGTTTTCATTACAATGAATGGATCGAAATTTGCTACAATGTCTTTACATTTATTATGGCTTGCAACTGTAATCAATTAAGTCAGTTTAGAAAGAACTGTTATCTTTTAATCACAACCTTTTGTACTCGCCCCTTTGCACAGGTCTTTATTAGAGTAAACCAACATAAAAAGTAGTGCATTGAACTTTCCAAGAGAAAAATATGCACAAAATGCTTCGATCTGTTGCAGAAATTATTGATTTTCTTTATTACCATTTGATTGACTGATAATTTCCACAGTTAGCATCAGATTGATCATAATTGGATAATCATTAAAAGTCATGAAGCACTGGACAGTTGTTTCGTCACATTATTGGACTACCCACCAGTTCAAATCCACAACCCCACTGTGGATAAAACATAATACTTGTAGATCCCACGGCGAGTGCTGAACATTTAGGCTACTGACACGGCGTACATGTGTTTGACTTCAATTAATTCGCCATACTGTATAAGCATCTTCCATTACCTGTAGTGAATAAATGTCTTGCACTTGACGTATTTGAAGTCAAATTACTTACTCTTAAAATTATTTGGTTTGTTGATAACATAGCATCAAATAAAAACGTTGATTATTTTCCCGACTTATGTTTGTTAATATCAAACTGACCTTAGACTGTAATAATACATTGAAGTGAAGGTTGAACTTTATTCTTAGGTACAATTATCATTATTATTTAATGTATGCATTTTGTTCTTAAGATTCACGCCTTAGTTACCATTTTATCTAACTTGTTTACATGACGACCAACAAAAGAAATCTAAGTTATTTTGCTCAACACAGTATTAGTATGCTTTGCATTACAATATAATTATTATTAGTCGAAGTTGAAAATACGGATGATGTTAGTTCTTAAAACGACAATAGATCTAACACAACTTCATAAACTGGTGACTAGTACATAATAATACTTTAACGATAATCCATTAAAAATATAAGAATTCATACAAGCGGTAAGATATCATGAAATAAGAAGATGAAACAAGTATACATTACAGTTTATGGAAAGTTTTAAAAGACTAGACAACTAATAGGAACAAGTGTCAACTGAATGGCATCAATACATACCCCACAGATGTAATGAGGTGCAAAAAAGTCACAATAAAAACCATTGTTTTCATAACACACAATTAACTCAACCCCAATAAAATTTAATTATAATGATACACTCACCTTATTGACTGTATACAAAGGAACATTATGTTCTGCTAGATAACGAACAATTTCTAAGTGTTTCGAAATGACCGCAATGTGCATCAAACTGTTTCCATTCTACAAGTTATAAAAAGACAAGACATATAAATTAATTAAAGAAACAGTGAGATCTAGTATTATCTGATATGCCATAAAGTATATTACGTTTTTACAAACTGATGACAATATCATTGACACAAGTGAATATGAAAACACTTTAAAATAATGATTACTGCTTCAAACAATGTGTTTCAATATTTTAATTAATTTACATATTATCTAACTGTAGATCATTTCAGCCCGATAACTAATTCCCGAAACTAGGACAGTCAAGTTGAGTTTAGAGTAGGTGGACTTTTTTCTCGTCTGTTTTGATATGGATGAAGTCAGATTCAGTTTTGTCTTGATGTCAATCATCATTACTATTTTAAACAATCTTGTTATTCAAAACAATGTAATACAGTTGGTCTAATAGTAGAGGATTCAATTCTACGTAGTTTCGCCTTCATATATAGTTTAGTGAAAAAAGGTTTTGGCTAAAAGTATATAAACATATGTCCCTACATTGACTGAACAATTAGTATTGACTAATGTCGTATTTATCGAGTTCTGTCAATCAAGTTGGAATATAGCCACTGTAATCTAAGTAGCCCAACATGTTTTGATGTTAGTTGACACTGATTCCAATTCATCAGGGATCATCAGCTTCTTAAAGATCTCAAGTACACCTTTTTGATGAATGGTAGCTAGCTCAAAAAGTAGGTGTACAGTTTCTCTCAAATTACTTCCAACCACCCAACATGTCTTACATCTCATGGCACCTTTATACTGAAGTGAGCTTTGGATTATCATTCTATTATGTAATAAAATCTAGTCATTATGATAGTACAGTTCTGTCATCCTATGAAACACCATATTTGTTACTTCATTTGTTAATATAAACTAGATGCAAGAAAGTATGGATTATTTGATAAATTTAGTTAGTACCTATTTCTCTTGGATATTTTCTCTAGAGTAATAGCCTAGTTGTCAAAACGTCTCACTTTCAATAGTTCATTTAAACTTTATCATTTCATTTATATCTGTTCAGACAGTCTGATAATATGACTAAAATATTCACATGAAAACATGACTATAAACCGAGTAAATCAATTAATAATTCGATATTGAATTGCATTAACATTTACATCAACCTACATTAATCATTATCGTCAATGAAAAAAATTACTGATTATTGTTTCTTTCCCTATTACCAATGGCAATATGAATAAATCAGACAAAAAAACTACACAATATCAGAGGTATCCTGATGTTTAAAAAAAATTTTTTTATATGAATCATTTTGGTATAGTTGCATTTTGTCAGCTCACTGGTTTAACTAATCAAATAAATCAATTATTTAAGTCCGATGTTCAGAAAGATTGATAACTCATACAGCGATCACATTGAAAACAGAGATAATAATATGTTGATTAGACAAATTGTAAACTAATTCTTGGTATCATATTTCGATTTAACTCCACTTTTAGCTCTTCTAGAATTACTGCCGGTCCCGAGCCAGGATATAGGATGAGGGTCGGGCATGGGGTCGGAAACCCCATCCAGTAGAAAATCTTGCTAAAAAATGCCAATCAGATTAAACGAATTCATACATTTAAACTCTGCCCTGGGAGTTGAAAGAAGGATTATGACGCCTCATGGTGAAAGCCGAGTTCCTTCGGAAATCACGAGACCGATGACCCTTCTAACAACCAGAGCAACAATATTTATAAGTACATGGAACGTCCGTACAATGTGAGAGACCGGGAAGACCAGTCAAATAACAACGGAAATGAGGAGATACAAATTGGTAGTACTGGGAATCAGCAAAACCCATTGGACCCTAGCTGGATAGCAAAGGCTAGATACGGGTGAGATGCTGCTATACTCCGGTCATGAAAGGAAAATGCCCCATATACTTAAGGAGTTACTCTAATGCTGTCCAAACAAGCACGAAATGCACTTACGGAATAGGAATCTCACGGATCCAGAATCCTCAGAGCATCATTCAAAACAAAGAAGGAGGGAATCACAATGAATGTTATCCAATGTTATGCACCCAATAATGATAGCAACGACGACATTAAAAATCAATTCTATGAGGGGCTGCAATCAATCATAGCGAAGTGCTCAAGAAAGGACCTCACCATTCTAATGGAAGATGTAAACGCCAAAGTTGGAACAGACAACATCGGATATGAAGATATTATGGAACGACATAGACTAGGAGAGAGAAACAAAAATGGGGAGAGACTTGCAAACCTGTGTGCATTCAACAAAGTGGTCATGGGAGGCACAATATTCCCACACAAACGTATACAAAAGCTACATGGATCTCCCCGGTCATACCACAGAGAACCAGATAGATCATATTTGCATCAGTAAAAAATTCTGAAGGATAATGGGAGATGTGAGAACCAGGAGGAGGAGCTCACATAAATTCAGATCATCACACGGTGGTGGCCAAGAAGAAACAGAAGCTAAAGAAACACTGAATAACTGGAGGAACAGCATTAAAAAGGTTCAATACAGCCTTCCTTCGACATACTAACAAACTCAACGATATCAAGATAACTCTCAACAACAGGTTCCAAGCCTTACAGGATCTACTGAAAGAAAAAGAAACTACTATAGAAGACAAAGGGAAAGGTATCAAAGAGGCATTAACTTCAATGTGTCAGGAGGTTTCGGGCCACAAGAAGCATCATCATAAAGAATGGATCTCTATCGAAACTTTACACAAGATTCAAGAAAGGAAGAACACAAAACAGCAATGAACAACAGCCGAACACGAGCAGAGAAAGTCAAGGAGCACGCTGAATATACAGAAAACAAGCAAGTGAAGAAGAACATTAAAGCCGACCGGCAGAAATACTCTCACTCACCAACATCAGAACAAATCAGCATGACCATCAAACAAATCAACAGTGGGAAAACAGCAACATCCGACAAAATACCAACTGCAACACTGATGTCGCCCATAGAAGTAACTACAAACATACTGCAAACATATTCTAATCACGAAGATTTGGGAGGAGCAACAAGTGCCACTGACAGACTGCAAAGAAAGACACCTCATCAACATTCCAAAGTATAACGATATGAGCAAGTGTGAGAACTCATCTGTAGAGGCATCACACTATTATCGATACCAGGAAAACTTTTCAACGGAGTGTTTTTCAACCGGATGAAACACTCAGGAGACGCCCAAATTCGAGATCAACAGACCGGAGTCCGTAAGGACCGATCGTGCACAGACCAAATCGCGACACTACGTATCATTGTTGAACAGTCAATTGAATGGAACTCGTCAATATTCACCAACTTCTATGGGAGAATTTCTCCACCATCTATGAGAAAGCGTTTCACAGTATGGTGTACCTGAGAAAATCTTAATCATTCGAATTCATACGACGGACTACACTGTAAAGTGGTGCATGGAGGACAGCTGACAGATGCATTCCAAGTGAGGGACGGAGTCAGATAAGGCTGCCTACTCTCTTCAACAAGCTGGATTACGTAAGGATCGGTCGTGCACATACCGAATTGCAACACTACGGACCATCGTCGAACAATCAGTTGAGTGAAACTCGTCACTATACATCAACTTCATTGATTATGAAAAGGCATTTGACAGTGTAGACAGGAGAACATTATGGGAACTTCTTCGACACTACGGAGTTCCTGAGATTGTCAATATTATCCGGAACTCATACGACGGACTACAGCGCAAGGTCGTGCACAGAGGACAGCTGACAGATGCATTCCAAGTGAGGGCCGGAGTCAGATAAGGCTGCCTACTCTCTCCCTTCCTTTTTCTTCTGGTAGTCGACTGGATTATGAAGACCTCGACATCTGAAGGAAAACACGGAATACAATGGACAGCTCAGAATCAATTAGACGATTTAGACCTGGCAGATCACCTAGCCCTTCTATCCCATACACATGAACAAATGCAGATGAAGACAACTAGTGTAGCAGCAGTCTCTGCATCAGCAGGCCTCCACATACACAAGAGGAAAACCTAGGTCCTCAAATACAACACGGAGAACAGCAATCCAATCACACTTGATGGCGAAACTCTGGAAGATGTGGAGTCCTTCACATACCTGAGGAGCATCATCGATGAACAAGGAGGATCAGATGCAGACGTAAAGGCGAGGATTGGCAAAGCAAGGACAGCACTCCTACAGTTGAAGAACATATGGAACTCAAAACAACTCTAAACCAATATCAAAGTCACAATCTTCAATACGAACGTCAAGACAGTTCTACTGTACAGAGCTGAAACTTGGAGAACTACAACAACCACCATCAACAAGATACAAGTATTTATGAATAGCTGTCTATGCAAGATACTCAACATTCATTGGCCGGATACCATCAGCAACAGCCTACTGTGGGAGGGAACAAACCAGATTCCAGATGAAAGGAAATTAGGAAAAGACGATGGAAATTGATAGGACATACACTACGCAAATCGTCAAACTGCATCACGGGACAAACCCTAACTTGGAATCCTGAAGGGAAGCGGAAAAGCGAAGGCCAAAGAACACATTACGTAGCGAAATAGAAGCAGATATGAAAAGGATCAATAGGAACTGGAAGGAGCTGGAAAGGATTGCCCAGGACAGGGTGGGGTGGAAAATGTTGGTGAGCGGCTCACGCTCCCCCACGAGGAGTAACAGGCGTAAGCAAGTAATATTTCGATTTATTCTATAGACAGATGTTTATCAATAAAAGTAGGAAAATAACTTCATATTATACTATAAATATGATTTACTTTATATACAACCTGGACTAATTATGCAGTCTGAAATCATTATTATTTTTTATGAAGACATATGTAATATATGTAGTCGAAAATTAGACAAATAAATACTCCAAGATAAAGAAAATAATTTCCGGTCAAAAATATAAATGTTCTACCCCCCTCCTATGGTTGATATGAACAAATAACGAAAGAAACATATTGAGTCGTTAAATAAAATGAAGACTTTTCTTCGAAAATGCGTTTTTCTTCTCGACGTTATTATTTACTAGTGCTGTACAGGCTAGATATAGTTATTTTTACATATAGTGGTCTATAATAAAAATGGGGATTACTACATCATTGATAGGTGCTAAAATTCAATCAGTATCTAAAGTTGCGTAACAGCTAAAGAGTAATAAAATTGAAGTAACACGTAAAAATGAGATCTGAAAGACAACCCATATAACAACTCTATAAGGTAGATAAATATATGAATGAAGTACATGTCAAAATAAGATTTAGGACAGAATTGGTGAATATAGCTGTTCACTCAAAGAATATAGGAAGATGAAGAGAAAAAACATCAGGAGAAGGTCAGTGAATACTAAAGACAAATGTGAGAAGGAAACTTAACTCACTAAGACCAAGTCTTTTAACAGAATATTACAAGATGAAAGTGAATCTGTCATAAATTGTCATAAATCCTAACAATCATCAAAGTATTTGTAAAAAGGATATAGCTGTACAGAATTGTCTGAAATCCTCATGCGTCAAAATAAATATCTCGACAAAAATCGATTGATCGTAAAATATTTTAAATTATATTCATTTTAGAAGAATTAAAAACCGAAAGAACTTCTTTACTGTTAGCATGGAAAGTTGGTGCAAAATTTTCAATCTGTAGTCTATATAAACTGACTTTGGCTAAACAGTATTTATCGAAATTCCCGCTAATCAACATTTTTTTAAAATGTAATATGTAATTAATTAAGAACTTTCGTCTAAATTTGATCGAATAGTTTCACAATATTTGGGCACCGAGTTAATCTGAGACACTAAAGAGGAAGAATGTATTTGTAAAATTTCAGCGAATGAATTTTGGAGTAAATCCAAAGTTTCACCTGGCAATCTGGTCCAAGCTTTTTCAAGAAATATTTCCTTTAAATCCTTTCGCTGAGACGTTACAAATACATTCGGTTTAATTTTGGTTCCCTTTAAGTCAATTTCCTGTTGCGTTTTTATTGCTGGTAATTCAATCGCCTAGCTATTTTTATACTACTTAAGTTCTTAGAATTCGAGAATGTATCTCGATAGGGTCATCTATAAAATAAATTGTTCTACTTGCGGAAAAAATATATCGGAAAGAGCGAACGACCCCTCCATCTTCGACTTCATGGACATCAGTTAGCTTATATCAATGCATGTGGACAATTGTGGACTCACATTCGTCTGAGAAAATGTTTAAATCCTAGATTCATGGAATGCTAAGAACACCAGAGTATTTTTAGAAGCTTGAAACTCGGGTCAGTCAGTAATCAACAGACACATCGACATCGATCCAATTTAACAATCAGTAGGAAAGATCACGGACAAATATGGGAACGAGATTTATATCAAAGGGAGATACAATCAAAATAAAAAGGCAGATAATGAGAGGTCAAAAATAACCAATCAAGATCAAGATCGACAGCAAAAGGTGTTGGTGATATGTAGAGAAATCCAAATACTACACTTCTACCTGAAGTGTGTTCTGATTATGTTATTCAAAAGAACAATGAAAGCTCATAGCCAAAGCATCCAGCTCAAAGAACTAAACTCCACTAAAAGCAATTCACCTTAGAGTGTAGTAGTTACATTATAAAAATGTTTGACTCAACTAAGAAATTCCTAACTCCAAAACTATTATATCCTATCCAACCTCTTGCCCTTACAAACTGAAATTATAACTTCTGAGAAATAATGAAACAGAATATTATATCATTACGTTGATGTCCTGAAATATCGTTCAAGTGTCTTAATTATTATGATAAATAACTGAAAATTTAAAGTAAATATAAGCAGTGAATCAAATTTTTTACCGTATCTTAAATATTTACAATTCCCAGTTGACTTATTAGTCTAGAGTGTCCATATTTATTGTTATAGATTAGACCGGTACTTTACTGGCACAATAATAAACACGTTTTATTACCTAAGTGCTCCTAAAACATAAAAAACAGTGTAGTATGCTGCTTACTTAGATTACTTTCCGTTAATGTTCATACTATCAGTCGGTAAACCTACTAGTATAGATCCTTCCTCTGTAAAATACACTCTATCTAGACGGAGTTAAACCAGTTAAGTATTTGTCATTGAACCCAGTAAAAAATGAGTTCCGGTAAACAGATAGTCTTCATTTACATATTATAAGAAGTTTTTTGTCAGAATATTGATGTTAAATTAAGATTATAATACTATTGGTTGGCCGAAATCTTTAATTGTCAGCCTTAGCTTGAGTCCATAGAACATAAACGGAAATAGATTATCTTGGATGTCCTGCTTTCTTTCCGGGTTTTCTTTTGAAATGAAAGGTTAAAACTTAGATTTCTCTATCTAATGACTCCTAAATTTGAAGGTTGTTAGTTTTTTATTGCATATATAAAGAAGTTTCAAATGTAAAATTAAACAGAAAGGTTATTTCATCTCAAAAAGCTTTCGATTTTTATGCATGCAATGATCTTGATGGATAGAAATTAAAAGTATGCATTACATTATGAAAAAACTTACGATCTTCAGTTCATAAGTTTACATGAGAAAGTGGTTTTTTTAGTTCAATCCTTGTCAAGACAATAAAATAGTACATTTTAAAAGGAAAATATTTAGCATAAGTTAAACTCCAAACTTTTGTTATAGATATCAACCTAACTAATAAGTAGTCAAGATAGACGATGGTTTTTATCACGGAGTAACGGCAACTGAAGAATCACTAAAAACTGGTAAATACTAGATAACTATTTTATGTTTAGTAAAGGGTTTTGTGCAAATTGTTAGGTCTTATAGTTTACAACGTGAACTAACATTAGCTAGGAAGCCACTGAAGACCAGAGGTACTGAACAGGTGTTTTGTTCTCGTGTGCGACTCCTCAGCAATGTACATTCACGATTCTACCGAGTATTGAATCCAGGCCTTTAGAACATTCAGGCAGCACTTAATATTTGAGCTAATGAATTGTCATCGAATAGTTTTCCTTTCATTCTTAAATCAGATCGTGATACTGTACAATCATCTTTCCAAACCCTTAGCAGATAACTGTCTTACTCTAACTTCGTTCTAACCAGCTGGTCACAGCTTCTCAGTAGAACTCCGAGAATTACCTCTCAATATTAGTCACTTGTGAGCACGTGATTATTATTACTACAGGGAAGGCCGTTGATTTTTCCACTTTACACCAAGGAACGAACTTAGAAAGCTACCGGAAACCAGGAAACACTGTACTTTTTTTGTTTTTTGAATCTTTTCAATAGTACACACCTAGATTCTTCAGGAGTCACTGCAAGAATCACACTAACCAGTTAATACGATCGAAAATATGATTTATATTTCCAACATCAATTGTTCAATACTGCATTATTTCCATAAATAGACTTCTTAAACAATATTTTTTGTCCAACAATTAACATTTAAAATCCAACAGAAACAGTTTTCTATAACCCTAATTAGTTTAAACTATCATCGAAATACGTTATTGTCAAATAATGAAAGTAATTAGGTCACGTTTGAGAAACATAGTTTCATCTTTTCAGATATTTCTTTCTTTTTACATAACAATAATAATAGTATATGAGAATTTTCAAAGAATTTGTCCTTTTTTCACTGACCTTTTAATTTGTATCCGAGTTAATTAAATGGTAAAATATGTCAACAACCTATTGTTACGAAAATGTATCTTTGATTTTAATTATTACAGAAAAAGATTATGATTTGAATGTTTTTCTTTAAACGAATAAAACTCTGTCATATATTCTGAAATAAATACAACTACAATCATGAAATCTTGAACTGCTTACAACATTGATGGGTAAGGATAAGTTATTCATTTGTATTAGTTGTTTGAATCTTCCCAATGATGTTTAGGACATAGTAATTTTAGTGGAAATATATGATAACATTGTGCAGTTTTGTATTCTCATTGCTTGATTTTCATTAGTAGAAAAAGTAATTTAATCTGACAATCCTTGAAACAATAACAAAAAGTGTCAAGAGAAACGGTTGCTATCAATTATACATACAAATTGAATAGTAATGCATTTCCCACAAGGTTTGAAAGAGCCAAATAAATGTGGGAACTTTGTACGATAAATATTTAGTGATAATGGATTTCACAGTGAGGACAAAAACTGTTTGTTTTGTTTAAATTTGCGAATTTTTAATGGTTACTTAAATGAAATAATAAAAAGCCTCGAAATCCAAAAACAATTTCACAACACCAAGAGGTTTTCAAGGTAACTAAAAACAAACAAAGTCAACAAGTTTAATTCATCTTACCTCATCCAAGTTTTTAAAGTTGAAACTGTTGCGTTGTGTAAATAAATGGTTTATCAATTCCAAATTTCCATCTATAATCGCACCAACTATTAAATGATAATTTGAAATCTATAATAATTTAAACAAATTGATATGAGGTGAATATTTATACAGAAGTCATTTTTGGATAGTCAATATGAGGATAATGAACTTATTTGAAGTATTTTAGTCAGACATGTATTTAATGATAATCAAAGTAGAGCCTGGAATAAAGTATGTGGAGTTAAATCGCCCTAAGTATTGTATTTTGACAAGGAACAAGTTATATTAATTGATAACAATAATCAATCCTACATTTGTCTAACTTCAGATGTTGACCGAATCCTACCAATCAATTTGATATAAGATTATCATTTTAAGTGGCTTAACATGACAAATAGAATGGAAAACATTAACCCTCTCAACATTAGAAATGTACTAACGTATTCTAACATGAAACCCATAGTTTAGCACCAATATGAGAAATAATAGTGAAATGCATAAATTTCAAGAAAACATCGAACTGATGACGCTCTTTAGATTTACTCATAACAAAATAAAAGTGTAGAAGGTGAACATGTTTTAATTTAAAGTGAAATCCGAGATTATGCCACTTGTTTATTTAAATATTTGTAAAATTCAGTAGTGCTTACCATATTTGTTTACGTTAATTAAGCTATTTAAAAATTTCCATCACTTTCCCGTTTTACACTGAGATATAAAAATTGAATTGATTATCTCGTACATATTCTATTGTAAACGTTATGTTAGGATGAGAGTTGTTGAAAAGACATATCTAAGTAAGATACCATTGCAACAATTGATAACAGAGTTAATAATCATCGTAAGGAACTTTTGAAGAAGAAACTCAGTGATAATCCAACTTTCAACAATCTAAAGGTAAAAAAAATTACGACTGCATTTTGTATAAAGTACACAAATCCAACATCCCGTTAAGACCTATAATGTCTATGATGAACCCATATCATAAGTTGACTCGGTGGTTAGCCAGATTTATTAGGACCAATTCGTAGGAAGTTGACGGTCAATATTTTAAAAGACGAATTCCAGTTTTCTAAAGAAATGAATCAATTGAATATATCAGATAAATTCATGGTATCTCTTGACGTGTGTTTATTATTTGCGAGTATACCACGAAAACAAACTATTAATATAATATGCAATCTGAATTACTTCCCGTGATGATATGAACAACGCTTCTTGGTTATTTAGTCACTTCAACAACTCTCATACCAACATAACGTTTACAATAGGATATGACAGAGATAATCAATTCAGTTTTTTATATCCTAGTGTAAGACGGAAAAATGATAGAAGTCTTGAGAAAAGTATATACAGAAAGGAAACATAGACAGGACAGTATTTGTATCTAAAAATTCTCATGGAATATTTATACATAAAGAATGTTAGAGTAAACAGTCGTTTTCAATCAATTTTTATATCAAGCTTCATCAATTTATGAAATCAAAATTATCATTTTTCAAAGCGGTTAGTCCCTTTAATAAATTCGAATAGTGTAATCAGAAGACGAAGATAACCAGAATTATGATATATATGCGCAATAAATTTCAAAAATCTGACCACATATATACTTGTTAAGAACATTTATAGATAAAAATAAAAGATCGAATGAAGGGTAAGAATAAACATCATTTTTTAATTTATACTTTCATCCTTCTTATGTCACATGATAATTATCATAATAACTACGACTATATATACATACATATAACTCCGCCTGTAGTTCTAGGGCTATTGCTGATTCCGTCACCCGGTAAAGGAGGAGAGTTGGACAATGGTTCAGCAACCCCATGTCGTAGAAAACAACCTTGCTAAAAAACCCTAACCAGAATAATTAATTTAAACCATTTAAACTCTGTCCCTTGAGTTGAAGGATCTTCATTTAGAAAAATTGTGACAAGTCATGGTGAAAGCCGATATACTTTGGAAGTCAAGAGGCCGATGCCTCTTCTGGTAATCAGAGCGACAATTAATATAGGCACATGGAATGTTCACACAATGTAGGAAACCGGGAGGACCAATCAAATAGCTAAGAAAATGAGGAGAAACAACTTGACGGTTTTCGGAGTCACTGAAACCCATTGGACCCAATCTGGACAGAAAAGACTAGATTCGAAAGAAGTGCTTTTGTACTCTGGTCACGAAGAAGAAAATGCCTCACACACATCGATATATACTTAATTTACTAATAGATTCAGAAAAAAATCAGCTACATTGTCAGAGGTCAATTGAACAATACAGCCAACGAAAACAAACGTATATATGAGTACAATAAACTCGGAAACAACTAGTTGAAAACAGGGTCTACTTGAAGATGCTTTCCAGAACGACAACGAAAGCATTCCCAATTAAACAATTCATTCACAACAGAGAAAATAACATTTTAAAAATTTTACCAATAATAAAAATGAAAACCTGTTCATTTTTATTGAGTTTAATATTGTCACTCATATATATATATATATATATATATATATATATATATATATATATATATATATATATATATATATATATATATATATATATATATATATAAATTGTCAAATGAATAACAATTAAAAATGTTTTATGAATATAAGTACAGTAGAAAGAGAACACTTAGACTTACTTCATTTTCTTCTGTAACATCACGTTCAATAGACACTTCATAGTTTTCATGAGTAGCCATAACTTCTAGACAAATATTGTTGTTGTATGTATATGCTGTTTTTTTTCTGCTTTATTTATTTTGACTAACGTATTGTTTATTATTGCGTGATATACATATATATATGTTAGTATAGAAAAAATTAAATGAATATTTCATATCATGTATTCACATGCGAATATGACTGGCTGTCACTACTTGACTAGTTTGTAAGCAAATATTACTTGTTCATTTTAATGACAGAAATCGTTCTGTATCATAAAAATATTTGTAATCCGTTTTCTTTTCCTCTCATTCTGTCTGAATTTCAAATAAGAAACTAAACATTAAATGATTATATATATATATATATATATATATATATATATATATATATATATCGGAGTAACAACTAACTTAAAGGTATGGTTTATTTGGGATTTAATAACAGTAAACTTAGGTTATCACAGGAATCATTTAAATAGTGAATATTGATTATTTATAGTGAAAGAGCCTAACTTTACTAAGAACCCGCGAAAATGAAACATTTTTTTAAGAGTTAGTTCTGAAAGATTTTTACAATCCTTTTGAGATAAAATTGTAATAATATTCCTGTTATAACTGGTCGTCAATCGCTGACTAAATCGCCAATTGTTATGTCCGGTCGACGCTAATTGTCATATCGGAATCGCTTATTCCTTATACTTGTAAAACGAGAAACCATTGCAATTTCCACGACGCGAAGTAAGAGTACCAAGACTGGTACAAGTGAAGACTTATTAAACACAAAGACCCTAGTAGAAAATACACTTATATATAGACTGTACACCTATTTTATTTATTAATTATGATGAAATCATACATATCAAAAATACCCTGAGCTATAACAGATCACGTGCTGCGTGTCATGTTTGTCATATCAATCCCAACTTGAATATGTATAAATAAATCAAACCTACTGAAATGATTTGTCAACTAATCCTAGCATCTTGTTTTTATGTAAGAAACGAACAAAATATCTCAATATTTATTCAAGTGATACCTATAGTATACATTAGATGTAAGCATTTTCACCGACTTTACAAATGTACCCTAATTTGTAAATAGTACTGTAATTAGAAAGCGAAATGCATATCGTATATAGTCAATATACTGTTTAACTGTTTGAAAGTAGAAATTTCAATGCCATAATCATTAATATGAATGATTTTGCGTGACTGAAAATGGTGGAGATAGCGTTACAAAAGGTGTCGTTTGTTTTATTCCGCGAACGTATTTCGCTTTGCTTTTTTTTTAGCTTAGCTACGCAAAGTGAAGTCTTATAATCATAGCAAATAAACTGAGTGAATAGACTGATATTATTTCTTTGGTAAAAATATAGTATACGGGCAAGCCAATCAGAGTCGAACAAACTACTTTCGAGTTTTTGAACGAAATTCAGAAACCGATGTCTTTTTTCTTGGCTCTAGTTGTTCATTCAAATTTTGATGTTCAATGAATGTGGGGCATCAAACTTTTCGGTCATTTTTCTGTTCATTTGGTGGGTGATTACTAAGTGTAATTTCCAAACCATAACTTTCACTACACACGGGTAATTCATATAGCATGTTGGAATCTGTTACATTGACACGTTCATAGCGGAAACAGAAAACTTTAGATGCAATTCTTTTTGTCGCTAAATCATAAAAATGAAGTGCTAAATGTATCAAGTACTTTCACAGTTGAATTCATCAGTCGATCTAAGCTAGACCACCATTGAAAACCTGGAAGCACTAGACGGCGTTTCATTCTAGTGTGGAACCCTTCAGCAGTGCATAATCACGATCAAGCACACGGAGCTCGAACCCAGAGCCTTCAGTCTCGCGCGCGAACGCTTAACCTCTAGACCACTGAACCGGGATCAAGTACTCACATTTTCATGTTTAGACTCCATATATATATACCCATGAGTTGTTCATATGGATGTGGCGGCAACAACGGTTCACCTATAACTCTTCAATAAATTTATTAAGAAATGCTTTATAGGCGAAAACAAATTTACCACAAAACCATTTGCAGCTTTGAGGAAGAAACCCTTTAGCGTTAATAAGGTTGACTATAAACCTTGGAAAACTAATGAACTTTCTAAAATCATCAAACTAACAGATTTCATTCGTTCTATTGCGAAATACTTTTAATTTATACAGACCGTCTACTTATTGGCTAAAAAGTCGCTTCAAAGTCATACAGTCATTTCAAGAATCGCTTAAGGTCGTCTCTATACCATTTCCTCACAAGTCCACACAGTTTCATTTCGAATTGCTTAAAATTTAAGAAAAGTACTAATAAAATTAAACTTTATAACAAAAAATAAACCTTTGAAACTATCCTGTGGACATCAAATTGATATTTTTGTTTACTCTAAACAATAGACACACCAACTATTTATAGTGATTATTGACAATGAGAGAGTAATATACTATAATATTATATGTATGATCAAAATCACTTTGAGTTTTAGGTCAGGTCAGTGGGAATATAAAAACAAGGAGTATAATAGGAAAAGAAAGATGTTATCCACTCCTTTCGATATCGCCGATGTTGCGTTACCATAAACATAAATCTTAGTAAAGTTGGAGATTGTGGTTGCCGGTGATACGAACAGATAAAAAGGCTCACAAAACTACTATGAACTATTATATGAACCTTCTCGAGGTCAATTTTATGTATTTCTAGCACCTATTTAGTGTTACATGAAGATATCTTTTTAATCGTCTTATATTATTGGACGGTCAAAATTCTGTTGTTTTGCGGATATTTACGTACATATTCGGCCGTGTTTACATTATCATCACTACTTTAGGAAATTACTAAAGTATGCGTAAATCGATACATGCAATGATATCTTGCCTAATCGTTCATAGTGTATTCGGAATTTTTCTGAAGTACGGTATTCGTTTCCAACCATATGTTCAAGCCTTCATTTCAATATAAAGCTGTTCAAATCGTTTCTCAACGACGAGATGATGAGGACATTGTATTTGTATTAAGCAAAATATATTTCAAACAGTACATTATTTGATGGGCATTGCACCAATGTATTACTTAATCTTGATACATATTATCTTATTACTTATTCCAGGAATCAAAACTATTTTTTGAATATCTTTTTTATGAAGTAAAATATATATTGATCGGGTAGACTGTTTAATAAATACTCAGTTATTACTAAACCGCTCATTGATACTCTCACCCATTAGTAAACTAAATGCTCCGACAGAAGACAGATATCTGTCAAGGTGAATGTTTAGGTCTTTGAACAACAAACTCTCGCCGACATAATATGTGGCTTTTCGAAACAATTTTAATAATGGAAAATTGATAACGTAAGACAAGATTGCTCCCTCCATAAGATAAAAACTTTGCATGGTATCGCGCATAAATAACCACTTTATTTGAACAAATTAGTAGTTGTTTGGACTTGTTAACTTTTTAGATAACGTAAGGATGTTTGGAGGGATAGGTACTACGTTTGAGTATCAATATAAGTATAAATACTAGGATGCAGGAATATTCAGCTGAGTCCTGAATGGAACTAAACATGTGGCCTGGGTCTTAAGCCTAGCCAAAATCCTAATTAATTAATAAACAATTTAGGTACTAAATAAATTCACCAAACAGCAAACGGATGAATAAAATAAAAATCTTTATGTGGCAAGAATGTACTGCTTTATTAAAAACTGAACAAATTTTCATATCCTGTGCTGTGAACTATCAATTTGAATAATAGAGCTTATTGTCTGTGAAGCAATAAATCCATTTTAAGCAGCACATGACGTACTAAGAAGGGAAGTTACATATAATACACATCAACAATCGGAAAACATATTATGGTTTCTAAAGAACCTTAATATTCCATCTTCGGTCTAACTGAATTCAGACATCGATCACTCATCCAAGGTACTGATTTTAACAAAAATGGAATTCGTTTAAGATAATAATTCACTTAGAATTTCCCATATTTCATTTTTCATGGATTACTAATAAATCATATATGTTAACGAGAAATTTTTCATTAAGTTGTATGCTTGTACTTACTAACAGTACCATATAAGCATAACTTTTCAAATAATAAGATTTAGACTGATAGTATAAAGCAGTATCTGTTTCTAGCTAACATACCGGGTTAGTATAAAAAGTATAAAGTACAATTACAAAATTAAGATAATGCACGTCGTTAATATTGTTTGTATCAAGAAAAACAACGTCTGCTACCACGTTTCGTAAATTTTTTTAAGTTTAAAAAACCTACTGTATTGTTGGTTGTTTAAGTATTACGAGGAAAAGTAAAATCATATCTTTCTAATTATCAATTTAATTGAAGGGGATTCGCCTAGATTATCATCTATTCAGATTAATATTTTAAAATTTGTCAGCTAGTTGAAGGTACTCATGAAACTTTAGAGTTGTATTATTTCCAGTCTCAATTTTTAAAAACGAGTGTATTTTCCTGTTTTTCGAGTAGTGTTGTGTTAAAAACTTCACATACTCTCTGCCAATCGATGATATCGGATGGTGGTTACTCTAAATCGTAAACTAAATGAAGTTGAAGATGTTTACAACACGATTTCAAGTCAATATCTTAGTGTCACTGTCCCCATGAAACTCGTGAATTTTGGGTTCGACTCCGTATATAATTGCCACCACCATTTTTAAATCCTATTCGGAATCTACTTCTAACATATTATATAACATAAAAGCTAAATTTCAGGCTTCTTTCCAGTGACAAGATCTTAAGAAATTCAAACCTGGATGGTTATTAACTAAAGTACCTGGACTAATGATAATCCCACGAGATATTTCAATAAATATTTGAAAAACCAGTTGGTGAAGGATAGAAAACCCAAATCAACTTAAAAAGGAAATAAGAAATGGTGACCTACCGATGGCGAGTACTGTTCAAATTATTTTTCTACATTTTACTCAATGTCTAAGTCTGACAGTACTCAGGACTAATTCTCATGCCCAAAACCCGCCAATCAAATGGTAGTTAGAAGACAGACCGTATTAAACTGATCGATAAAGTCTAAGGACACACATAACTCATACCTACGACATGAACAAATAGGAATGGAGTATTGTCATTGTTAGTCACATAGCCAAATTTATAAACAAACAGATGGGAAGAAACAGTTCCTACTTAATCATGATTTGCCCTGTTTTATAACACTTTTGAGGTTTGTAATTTATAAATTAAGAGAAATAAAGCGTATAGGGAATCATAAGTAACTTTCGGACACCTACTTGCTAGCAACGCACATGAGTCATCAAACGATGAATATGCTTTACTGTATATCAATCCTCTGAAAAGACGTTAGAAAGAAGTAGCTTTTCCTTTAGGTGAGATGATTTTTGATAAGAAATGTTTAATGGACAGTTGTGCCGTAAAAGTTATTCATCGGTGAGCATTTCGGCACTAAATGTTTGTTTTTTAGTAGCCAGGAAGTGAATGTCAAACATTGGTACCTTCGAAGTATTGCGATCCGAAATTGAATCTCCTACGAGTAACATTCTTAAGAAATTAACTATTTGCGACTATGGTTGTGCAGAAATGTGACCTGTTAGTCGAGTATGAAAACGGGGAATAACAGACTAGAAATACATGAAGTTTAGGCAATTCAACGAGCATACATTTATGTCTCACCAACTTCATTTCGATCAATTATGTTCTAGTTGGAGAAAACCTGACAAAATAAGACTTGTTCAGGCTACTATACTCAAATTAATATTATTTTTCCTTATAATGTAATTTCTTTTGGATACTCACTACACGTACTCAGTGGTTGGAAACGTTAAATGACATAAAATAAGTTCACCCACAATGATCAAACGGTTGTTTTGTGTGCATAGTGTCGTTCTACACAATCTTTTATTAACTTTTTTCTGCAATGCCATTCTTTCTAATACACTTAAACCATTATTTCAAGTACTTACAGGAAGAACTATTTTATGTTTTCCTATCCGATCCAGTTAGAAGTCCACTATAACTGTTTGCTCAACCAGCTATCCAGAACAAAAAGACTAAAAATGTGATACAAATGCCCTAATATATATGCGTGCTAACCTTGACGAGATTAATAATCCACTCACACACTAGGCAAACTCGCGTTTTCACCTTTGAATTACCATGTATCTTTGAGGCTACTTATGGTCTCTACAGGCTTCTGTAAGAAATCTTTTACAAATGTTTACAAATGTATGTTTTAAATGTTAACTTTTTTGTTCGTAGTTAACTACCATTTTAAGTTCCAATAAAATCGGGAGACTGTTGTTTGCAGAATTAAAAAGACAGTTGACAATGTTTTAGCAAGTCGAAATCCTACTTAATTTTCTCAAAAATTACACATCAGGAATTCACGTTTCTATATTTACTAAGTGTGACTTACCTACCGCCTTCAGTCATTTTTTCCGCTCGATTATTTAGGAATGGTGACTATTACTGTGTAATTTTCACTAAAAACTAGCATCACAAGAACTTGACAACAAATGATGGAGAATCAAAATAAATTGGAAGCAGTGGATCGAAATTCTCATATCATTTAAGACACCCATGGCACCATGGTGAAAAAGTAAGGAAAGCATATCTTAGCTCATGAAAACAATTCTGACACTATAAACTGACAGCATAAACAGGTAAAAAGGTGGGTCAATCGTAACACCGAATGCGATAGGAATCAACGGAAAACAGGTCTAGTGCGCCTTGAATAAATAATCCCAACGGCGAACAGCCCAACATTAACTCATAAATCTTTTGATCGTTAAGAATGTCGAGTTTACAAATGACAGTTGTCAAGTTCATGACATTAATACTACTAGTAATTATACTGATAAACCAATACATAACCGTGTTAGGACTTCCTAATGCCAAATTCTCTTTAGTGAAATTTAGATTTACAGAATCATGCTCACCTGTACTTTGCTGACAGGTACAACAGCTGACGTCTGGGTTGAAATCGAGTAGTTAACATTTAGGTTTCTTCAGTATAACCCCAAACCAGATATTCAGTGCTTGGTGTTTCGAATTCCGCCACAGATGTTGTCATTAATTAGCATTATTTGAGGACGAATACTCATTTATTTTGCGATATTCATCTGAACCTAAACTAGTCCTAATGGTATACAAAATAACAAAGCTGATATATACTTAAAATAATTACTTGAATTCATTCGGTTAATAAAAACTTACACCTACTAAAAAACGAAAATACCAATGTACCAGGTTTAAGGTATTCTTCAGTTTGTTTTACGACGGCAAACTGTGGTATTTGTACGAACTAATGTACTTGATTGCCCGCTGGTTTCGATTTCCAATTAAGATACTCGCTGTAAATTGCACTGTTACGGAAATTCCTAGTTAGCACATTAATTCAAATAATTTTAATAATCATACAAACCCTTATAATGTTGTATTAGGAACACTCCATGCATTTATTCATTTTATCAAAAACGTATTGATCTAGGGTCACGTTATGGTCATCGAAAAGAACAAAAAGTCATATATGACGCAATCAAAAGTTTCATTTCAGAAATCGTATGTTCATTTCACAGTTTACTTAATGGATATATGTTTTGCGTAGAAGGTTGAAAGACTAGTTTATTTAAAGTATTATCCAAACATTCTTTACATTTTCAGAGGGAAACAAAACTCTGCATACTTCAGTCACTAACAATTGTTCAGGTGAGTAAGGATTACCATTCAGTGATATGGTTTAATTTGAAAATAGTGTATATGACAGTGATAAAATATGACTGGCAGATTTAAATCATCCAAGAAGTGAGATAAATATCACCGATGGTACTGAGTTAGGTCGGGTTTGGACTGAAGTTGAAAATGTGGATTATTATTTCATAACAGCCGACATGGCAGTTCTGAATCCCGTGAACACAGGCGGTAACAACTAAACGTATTTGAGTACTATTATGGGACTACTCAGCAGTGCGCTAATCCGTGTCGGGTAGAGACAGCTATCTACCTCAGTACAATGGAAGATGGTTGCAAAATTTCGTGGATTGGTTGAGGTCAGACATTAACACCATTGGACGCTGGTTCAGTGGTCCAGTAGGTTGTGTTCGCGCGCGCGACCGAAGACCCTGAGTTCGAATCCCGCAAGCAGGATCGTGGGTGCGCACTGCTGAGGAATCCCACAATAGGACGAAGTGGCCGTCCAGTGGTTCCAGGTTTCCAACAGTGGTCTAACACCAATCGGTTCATGATCTTAATCAAAAACTTAATAATCCCCACAACCCTTATACTGGTACAAAATTATATCTCTTAGTAAAATCTGAGAACCATGCAGTGAATACTTCATCTGCAAAATATCCATCAATTGTCTCAGAATAAGAAAAAGAGAATTCAGTGAAGAAAATTTTCTTTTCGACGATATCATTTACTTAAGCTGTACATTCGTATATGTAGTTATGTTGAAAATGTATGTCTATAGGAGGATAGAAAAAACCGCATCACCAAAATGGATTCGAGGATAAATAACAAATGAGGTTACGTACTAATCAAGGGGTAAGGAAGAAAATCGTTTATGAGTCAGATAACAGTCCAATTGACAAATATGAAGAAAAGCGACAAACACAAAGGTCATAATAATAGACTGAATCATAATCAAGAAAACTTGTATAAGGTAATAATAATAATATTTTTCCAAGTATTGTGACAATTGGTAGCATTGCCGTAGTCAAACCTGTCACTTTAAATGAAAGGAACTATTGGATTTCGACAACCAGTTATTATTAATAACGCAGTATAAATCAACTATACGTGCTCATGTGGGGCTTGTTATGTAGGCCGAACAAAGCGATCACTTTCCAAACGCATCTCAGAACACTATCCGGCTTGGTTTGCAAAAGGAGAATGTAAGACAATCACTAGTTCTATACAGTAGCATTTATTCAATTATGGACACACTGCTCCCAAGTATTCTTCGTTAAAAGTGATCTAAACAGTTAAAGGAATTGGATCGAGGGGGTGTCGAATCAATATTTTATGCACTGATGAGGCACTGGCAATTCACGAACTCAAGACCGAACATTGCGTGCAGAAACGATTTGTCCAACCTCCCATCCTTCATTGGCCCTAATTCTCTTAATGGGTATGTTTTTGTTTTTTTCTGCACTTTTATTTGATTATTATCGAATTTTTAAAACTACTATTTTGCATTTTAAACTTGAAACAATTATTATTATTACCTTATACAAGTTTTCTTGATTATGATTCAGTCTATTATTATGATCTTTGTGTTTGTCGCTTTTCTTCATATTTGTCAATTGGACTGTTATCTGACTCATAAGCGATTTTCTTCCTTACCCCTTGATTAGTACGTAACCTCATTTGTTATTTATCCTCGAATCCATTTTGGTGATGCGGTTTTTTCTATCCTCCTATAGACATACATTTTCAACATAACTACATATACGAATGTACAGCTTAAGTAAATGATATCGTCGAAAAGAAAATTTTCTTCACTGAATTCTCTTTTTCTTATTCAATGACACTATGGGTTATTTTAATTGTCTCAGACTTTGTCGTTCCTTCGTTCCCATACCAATCACTCTCTGTTTTCGGTATCTTCTCTTCGATCTTGTTAACTTTCTGCAGCCAGGCATTCCACTTTCGATTAGTGATACATACAACTTATATCAGTCGACATCAGTAGCACACCACAACAGGCGCATACTGACGAGGAGCTGCAAGCGCAGGCAAAACATTCATCCAATTCGAGTTTCCAAAGGTTCTCCAGTCAATATCAGTCCACATCGACAACTAGTCTTAGATGTGAATAAGTGAGTGATTTTCCCCAAAACAGTGATCACAATTAGTGTTTTGTACTGACGGAATTAATAGATATAAAAAAATGTTACTAATTTTCAGTCTACTCTAGTCTCCAATGGAAATGAATCATATTACAAGCTTGTATAGGGTTATCAGTGTATTTCTGTCATAAATAAACATGAATTGTCAGTTTTAGTTTGGAAAGAACAGAAGATTGGAAGGTTAGTCCCGAAAATAGGGATTTTTGATTTATCTAACCTTCTATGAACACATTTCCTTAAGATGTTTTCACAACATATTGAGCTGAAGAGTCTAACTGGTTAACGATTTGATGAGAAAGTCAATTCCCGGCCGACGAGTAACTGTTCATAGGCTTGTTGACCTTTAAGTATATACTCATATTCTTGCTACTATATCAGGTACAAGTAATGAGGACATATAGGAATAGAATTGATCAGAAAGTAGCTTGAAGATTGTGATCGGATTATATCAAGTCTTTCTGCATGATAAGAGAATATTTGATTAAACCAACATGTTCTCATACAGAAGCTCAACGACACGATAGATTAACTTAGTTGATGTCGACTGAACCTTTTCTAAGAGCTCAATATCGTTCTCAAGCCAAGAGCTAATTGCTTCCATACAGAGCTATATTATTCCACATGTATTTATTCGCGATTTCACAATCGATTTACATTATTATTCACTTGGAGATATTAGCTGGGAACTACTAAGTTTTTCCAGAACTGCGATATCGCCTTTTTTGTATTGTCCTACGTTTATTTTGGCAAGGTTAATGTACAGCGAAACTAACAACGAACAAGTGACTAGGATGGTCGTTTAAACTTTAGAAGATATAATACTGGTGTCAAAACTGTAACCTAGAAAGCTTTGTTAAGCGTTATTTTGCAAATGGACAACTCGGAGTTAGCATATACTCACTTGCTGTGTACAACTGGAAAGTTATTTGTGTTAGACTGAAATATAGGTTATGCTGATCAATTTCAATATGTACTTGTTACTTTTAAGAATTATTGTACATACCAAAATGATAAAGCCATCCAAACATAAAATACGTTATTACTGTATTAGAGAAATTACAAACTAGAAAGAAATTATCATTACTCATTTCCTGCATGAGTTAATCATTGTACAAATTTATAAATAAGGTGAGTAAAAAATCCACATTATCCTTTTCTGATCATACTAGAAATAGGATATGCTCGTCTTAGTGGAAAAAAAACGACTGCAAAAGTCACATCAAACATTCAGACCAGTTGGATGATAATTAGCAGATAGATTGGCCGATAAAATTTTCATTCTAGTTTATACAAAGTTTAGTAATTTGTTCTTTGTTATTATATACTTTTTTCTAGAAAATGAGATATTATTATCCAATAAACACGCGGATAAAGGCTTTATTTTATAAAATATCAATTATTTTATCTTTTTTCGAACTACTCCCCATTTGTGCTAATGCATCTGTCCCATTTTCGCTACTACTGTTCCAAAAATTCATGAAAGTTTACAGAAGTTGGGCTCCTTAGCTAATTTATCGTCCAACAATTTTCTCAACCAGAAATGTTCTGCTAGAATGTCGTATGCAAACAATTTCTCACAGCTTGATTCATTAGGAATAATTGAGGCAGAAAAACCGGTTGGGAATCAGAATAAACTGAATAAGTTGGATGCACTTATTGAAACAAAGTCCCATTATTCTCGTAATATCCAGTTCTCGCTGAACAGCTTAAATCAAATGGAAATGGCTGTTTTCTTCTACGGGTAATCCACATAAACAGCACTGGACATAATTTTCCGTATAAGTGATGAATTTTCTCATCATTGTTAAGAATTGGAATTGGTCAGTAGCTTTTGGCATATGTACATCCTGAATAGAATGCCTTAGTATTGCCATTTAGTCACAAGAACCTTAATAAAGTTATATAAAAGACGAAATGGGAATCCACAACGCGCGTTTTCTCCTACGTTGGATGCCGTGGTGTGAACACAGGAATTCAGGTACAAACCGTCGTTCCTCTCATATGGTTGTAATAATTAAGTGAAAAAGAGGAGAAACCAAAGGAGAACAGAAAGAGCGTCATTTGCCATCAATTTAAAACTGAATTTTTTCAATAGGTAAAAGCTTCAGACTAAAAATACATGGTTGACAGAACTATCAATTATTAAAACACTTCTAAACGGAGGACCCGTTTATGATGGAAGGATCAAGGCAAAAGGGTGCACACCAACATAGTGACTATCAAAATAGGCGCAGATAAGAAAATAGTCACGCATAAAGTAGTTTGATAATGTAATAGAGATATGAATGTTATTTGCACTTGTGAATTTTGACAGCACGGTTTAATATCTAAAGTTGTAAGTCGAAATTGAGTGCTATACCAAGTAAAGTTTCGTATCTATCTGTTCCTATAATCTTGTAAAACCACTTTAATCCGTGTTGATATCTCCGTGTGCTTTTTTCACGTCATTGCTAGATCCCTGCCAGACTGTTTGATTTTCAATCCATTTAGACATTTGCTTTTTTGAGCATCAATAAATTTTTGTGTTCGGACGGGCTGTTTCAAGCCTTCATCCCACCGCTCTACAGTAATGTTTGTTGAAGATCGTCCAAAACGAAACTGTAGGCGCTTCATAGTATGATTCGGGAATCGGAGCCTTAGATCCATACAAGTTAATCACTCCAGATGTCTTTAAAATAACTCACGAGTACTTTGATTTCTTTATTCTCTACGCAGAATGGTGACTCCACTAAGATGTCAAATGCAGTTATAACACTCAAGACCGGCACAAGTTGTCGTCGACTGATGGATGTGCAGAGAAGTTTTTATCCATTATATAGAGATGTTGACGGTTTGGTGATCACTGTAACCTCTCCCATATGGATACTGATAAGGCTGAATGTTGGTCATCAGTCATGGTAGTTGATGGTTCTAAGTCGGACATTGTTTATTCAGTTCTTTGTAGATGCCCACGAACGAATTTCTATTTACATTCAATAAGAATGTAAACGAGTGGATTGGATTTCATAGTTTAAATGATGTAGATGAACAAAGTGGTCGAGGTCTTTAACGTTCTATCGGCATGCTAATGAGGATGTTATCTTGACAATTCCAGATTCCGAGTTGTGAAAAATGTCAAAATGTGCTCTTCACCCAGTTCACTGCCATGCAGAAAATTCTCGCTGCTCAAAACTTGACTGGAGAAAATAACGTAGGTGTTGACATACTAGTATATTTGCCCGTTAGCTAATTTGCGTATATGATGGAACGGACGGCTCCTAGTATTTATTGATCAAAAACTACTAGCCAAGGCACTACTACCCAATGATAAGAAAGCTTTTTCATTCAGATCAATTACCTCTTACCATTCTGCATCTGTTCGTGTATTATTGAAGTCCTTGTGTCTAATAATTTCATTAGACCTAAGTCCGTATTAGCATTTGAATTCTACCGTACCATTGTTAAGATAATATAAAAACTCGGTAGTGACTGGAAGCAAAAAATCAGTTTTGATCGCAATGATGTACATTGAAAAGTAAGTCACAAAGTGCATACTAGCTTACTATTGTTTGGAATACTAACATATTAGAAAGATGTTTTGGAAGAAGTAGGTAAAAAGAACTAAAACATATTTCTTGTTAACTGAAAGGAAACGTTGTAGTCAATAAAATGAAATGGTTATGATAATAAGCTAAACACCAGAGAATTTTTTGAAAAACTCGCTTTCACTTAAAACAGTCCCATAAACACTGTCCGTCAGTGATAAGTTCTCAACTATATTAGATGTCATATCCCAGTAGAAGGGTAAAGTATGTAACGAACTTGAACTCTGTCCACGTATACATTCATAAGTTGGTGGTGGTGCTATCCAGCTGCCATCCTCACGCTGCATATGACTACGATCTGATGAAAAGTGATTTAGGTAGTCGACGCCATGGATAACGCGATAGGACCTGTGACAACAAAGAGGAATGACATGGCATTGCAAACAAATATAATCCATGCAATACAACTGAAGAGCAACCTTTTAAACAAATTTCCTGAGTAAAAGTTCATTACAGACGCTAACAAGCTGTTTAGTCGACCGAAGAAGCAAAAGTCTGCAATTTTACTAGTATATAAAACTCTATACATAAATGTATGCCAATAATAACTATGTTTATAAGTGACAATATAAGTGATACGTACTGAATAATAAAGTATATGAATGGAGTAAACATCATGGTGTTTGGAGTCTGTCACAACTGTTTCAAAAACTCGCTTCCTTAAGTATGTTATTATTCTTAAGGAGGGCAGAATAAATAGCTGACTGCACTATTTTAGATTGGTTTCTATGGCTGTTTACTCTCGCGTTTCGGTGCATCGACTGTTTTAATAAAAACATATATTAAACATTCACAAACCTATCCAATGTGAACCAGAATGAATTAAAAACTGAAATAAAACAGCAATCAACGTATGATTATCAAGATCGTAACTTAATGGAGAAGTAGTGACTAACAAAATTTATTTCATCTAACAGCTTATAACATTTATTCATGTTTACTTTCTTGCTAATATTTGTATGTTATCTTATTATATAAAAAGCCTATCCTAATAAATAGCTGTCTTGTCTTCAGATACCTGTTCATAAGGGATTACAGCTAGTGAATAGCCACCACTCAGTCAATTCATAACACTGGATATTACCCATCAAGAAATTTCATTCATTTCTCAACCCTCTTTCATAAAAATATATAAAATCACGAAAAAATTAGCAGTACGTACAAAAAACATAGTAGTGACTTATTAGAGGTAGTACCAAGTATCGTTTGAATTTCAGTAGTCGTTTGTTAATTATCTATTTGACAGTAGAATTCGGCTGATTAATAGAGGAACAAAAGCTCCATGTACCAACACGCAAATACTAACAAACAAGATACTGTTACAAATCAAGAGACAAATTTACACAAGTGTGGCTATAGATACACATAATGGTCACATCTAAAATCCAATCAGCCTTTAGCATATACTTTGCGTACTTTTAGCTATTTATTAAACTAATAAAACTCATGTTTGTTTATATCCGTGACTGTTAATTGTTTGACTGTTTGTTCCACCTTGTGAATTTAATGTCTGCAGCATAAAACAGTTTTTTTCAAACTGTCACCTCACTTTCATTAATCAACATTGTATAACAAAAGATGGATCCTCATTGTAAGACAGCCCAAGTATTGAAATATTTTAGAACATGTCTAGTGTCAGATCAGTATTTAGAGCAGCAAACAAAGCAGATGTTCAACCGTCTAATAAACAACGTAACCTAGACTAAGGCTTATTCTTACCATGATGAGTGAGAGTAACCGGATCGACAGGTAATAGAGCCTATGTGATGATTTGGATTATTGGGTAGTGTTGGCCTCTAAATGTCAATCGTATGGAGCTGCAGTGGGAGCGCTTTTGTCCTGTACTTATGAAACTTAGTCTCTAAGCAGAGGAAGTTTAACGAGTTTGTCTTTAATCATTTTTTCACTGAAGGATCGAATTTAGCTGTAACAATAAACAATGTTGGGTTTTAGCTGAGTGTTTAGGAGTAGTGGGAATCAGGGCCCAATTAGTGAGAGTTGCTCTAGTGTTCTAGACAAACTACGCATATCAACACAAAGGTTACTATACCACGCACTGCTTGGTGCCACAGAAACTAATTGTAGAAATTAGGTGAATGATCAGTTTATAACTTAGATTGTTGAACGAAGAGTAGTATTTGTTTAAAATATGATTGTACTTCACGGTTTCGCGAAAAGGGTTTTAGAGACTGGACAAGCCAGTGACACGTACGGTTACCAAGTATAGCTCTAAATTTTAGCCGGTAGGAATCTAATGGTTTCCAATCGTCCTCTATAAAGTATGTGGTGTACCTTTTAGATGAATGAGATCTGAAATGAGTGTTGTGTGAGCTATATTCTTTAATATCCATACTGTTATTAACAGATGAAATTCTCTCCTAATATTATCATGAACCATCGACCATTGAGATGACTTCATATTTCAGGATGAGGATTTCGTGGTTTGAGCTAGTATGGTTGTGAAGCCTTCATTGTTCTTCAGCAGCACGTACTTTTCTTTCCTCCAAGGATTATTTTGTTATAAATAATAAACACAATAGCTAGTCAGCAATAGAGAAGGAACACCTCATGTAGTACGTTATTATAACTTCTTAAACTCGCCATTGAAATTGTTAACCAAAGTTTCTCTGAAAAAGATGGCTTCAAACACTGTTGATACATTTCGAGTGACTCTTAGTCAATACCTAGTCACCCACTCATCAACTCCAAGTTAAATGAAGCTAACTGCCATCATCAAGACATTTGAATAAGAAATGGACAGATACACCTAACTCTTGGTACTTTTGTTTAAGAGAGAACCTGCGTAACTTACTCAAATTATTCAAACCGGGTTAGGAGGATTCGATCAAAGTCATCGTTGAAGTACACCCCAGTAACGTTCTACAATAACACTAGTTATTGGTATATGGTTAGTAATAACACAAGAATTGAGACTACAATTTGTAGTTATGAGCAAAAGTGACGCATATTTACGACTGCAAAAATCTTACCTATGTAGTTCTTCTGGAAGAACGGTGTTCTGCCGGAGTCCGTGTGTTAGATACTGAACAAATGGGGTGGGAAACGGCAGTAGTGAGTCAAAGTCATAAACCCAGTAATTGGACATATCGCCGTATATGAGGAAAACGTGGTAATCCTTAAAACAAAACAAAACAGTAAACTTGGAGCGTTAATTACCCATATGATGAAATGGTCCATTTGAGGATCTCCATTTACTTGGGCGAACAAACCAATCTAGTGTCTGGTGTGATGGACTTTGATGACAACTTACAGATTTGTTCACATTGGACAAAAATACAACGTATCCACACTGTAAGTTACCGAACCCCCTCAGATATTCTAACAGCTTGTACACGTTCTCTTCACTTAGCCAGTAGAAATGGTTATAATTGTGACAGACCAGTAGCTGGGAGTGTATGTGAGTTGTTCTTTAGCAATTTTCATGACTGAAATCACAAAAAATATCAAAAAAAGATCTGCACTAATTTAGGATGAAAAACTGATTCATTTGCTGAGAGCACTTTCGGTACATTAGGTTAGACGCTACATAAAGTAAAGAGCAAACGAGGAACTAAAGACCACATTAGAACAGAGAAATCTGCTAAGCAGAAAGAACAAGGTGATGTAAATAATATTTATTTACCGTATATGCCGCAGTTGTATTAAAACAATTTATATCGATTGGGAGGTGGTCCCTTCAAATTTCCTCGGGTTCTACAGGAAAATACGAATTTTCATAGTATTTAGGTCCCAAATTTAAGAAAACTCCCAAATCGGGAGACAAGGATCGTTCGAATGCAAACTGGATTCGAGACGCAGAGGAGGAAGACTGGATTTTCTTTGATAATTAACTAGTTTTCTCCAAATAACAAACAATACTGTAGAGTTGAATAACCGCCAATGTTTATTGTGCACCACTGATCTTCAGTCTTCAATCTTCAGTAATAAGGATAGTAGGTTGATGAACCTGTGTTAATCCTGACACATTGCTTTCCAGTGAAGGTCCAGCTTTTCCTTGAAAGTATTCACTGATGGGGCTGATACCACTTGTTCGGGTAAGGCGTTCCAATGATTGACTACTCGATGAGAAAAACGGGATCCCACTTTAAGTTTATTAGATCGTGGTTTATGAACCTTCTTGCTATGACCTCGGAGATTATTAGTGCTGGAGGGAGCAAAAAGATAAGACATATTAACACCCAAATCATAATTAAAGATACGAAATGCCAGTATAAGGTCACCTCGTGTCCTACGATACGACAAGGGGAAAAGATTTAGGCGTTTTAAGCGCTCATCGTAAGGGAGTCTAGAAAGACCCTTCACTAATTTCGTTCCCACACGCTGGACACGCTCAAGGGAGTTAGTATCCTTTACTAGACACGGGCTAGCTGCTTGGATACAGTACTCTAAATGTGGTCTAACATATATGGGGTATAAAATTCGAAACGTTTCCTCGTCAAAAGATTTGAACGCTCGGCGAAGTGACCATAACGCACGAAAACCTTTGACAGCGGCTGCTTTGCAATGCGCAGTTGTTTTTAAGTCATGACTTAATATTACTCCTAAGTCCTTATGCTCTTGAACGCATGGAAGAGGTTTACCCTCAATAGTGTAACGGTAACTATTACCGTGACCGACGTGCATTAGTACACTCTTCCTAGCATTGATTTCTAAGCCCCACTCTCGAGCCCATCTAACTAAATCGTCTAAATCAGCTTGAAGATCCACATGATCAGCCGCACTTTTTATTGTTCTCCAGATTTTTACATCATCTGCAAACAATAATGTCGACGACCTAAGTAACAGTGGTAACTCATTAACGTAGAGAAGGAAGAGCAGAGGGCCTAAGATGGTGCCTTGGGGTACACCACTTTTGACCGGCTTCCAATCGGATAGCGTTCCATTGACCCTAACTCTCTGTCTGCGGTCACATAAGAAATTTCCTATCCACTCATGTACAGTACCTATTATTCCGAAGCTCGTGAGCTTCTGCATAAGACCTACGTGTGAAACCTTGTCAAACGCTTTGCTAAAATCTATGAATATCACGTCGACAGACAGACCGTGATCTAGGGCTGCTGTCCAATCCTCCCTCGCAATAAGCAAGTTAGTCAAGCATGAACGCTTGTTACGAAATCCGTGTTGCTCAGGAGCTAACAGATTGTGTAAATCTATGTGGCTTAGCAACCTAACCCGAATTATCTTTTCGAGTAACTTAACGACTATGCTAGTTAGACTGACAGGCCGGTAGTTAGATACTATCTGTCGCTGACCGTCCTTAAATATAGGACTAACTATAGCGTCCTTCCAATCTCTAGGGAGTTGGGCGAGTGAGAGGGACATGTTGAAGAGTGTCGCAAGCGGTTTTGAAATAATGTCCGCAAGAGATGACAGCAACCGTGGATGTAACCCGTCAGGGCCCGGTATCTTACCAGGTTTGAGGTTAGTTATCAACGGAAGGACAGTTTCCTCAGTCACCTGTACGGATTCAATGGTTGGTATCTCGGTGTGAGTGGGACAAGTATTTGTTACAATAAACGTAGAGAAGACTTCGCTAAAATAATCTGAAAAAGTCTCAGCTTTTGCTCGATCTGATTCAGCTAGTAATTCTGAATTTTCGTGTAACAGCAACGGGGGAATACCATCACTACGTTTCATTTGCCGTTTAACATACGAAAACAATCGTTTCGGACAAGTACGGCTATCATATACTAACTGTCGTTCGTAAGTGGTACGGGATTTCGCTATGGTTTTCTTACAGATATTACGGTATTTTTGATACTCACGCTTAAATGGTGCATGACCTGTCAACAAGAATAAGTCCCAGAAATGTTTCCTACGCTTTAACAGCTTCCGGGTTTCCTTATTAATCCATGGAGGGCAATGTGATAGCTTACGTGCTGACCATGGGATAAACGGCGACGTTACGGACTCGAATGTAGCCTTAAACTTATTCCATTCATCTTCGATCAATCCATCCGCGTCGACCGACCAATCGGTCGAGATAGCACGGTTTCTGATTTCCGGAATATTAGCTCGCCAGATATTGGGACGGGGTGGAGCAGATACGAATTGTATACCATGTGTCCTAAACTTAAAGTGAATTACAACGTGATCACTGTTCACTAGTGGAGGAAGGTGCTGGATATCAAAGACATCCTCAGAGTGGTGGGTGAGGGCGAGGTCCAGCAGTGACGGAACATGATGCAAATCAATATGTGTCGGTTTTGTGATACATTGTACAAGTGCACACTGAATAACGGTAGATAAAAGGTCGCTATCGAAACCACTACCTGGAGCTGTAAGCTCTATCCAGTTGATATGCGGTGCGTTGAAGTCCCCAATGATGAGACAACATTCTGCCATACTCCAAGAACAGATGTGTCTTAGGATAAAGTCGTCAGCCAGACAAGACGGACTACGGTATATTCCCCCTATAGTCACTAACCCATTTCTAGATTTAATCTTACAACATGCAACCTCACATGTGCCACTGATATGAGCCTCCGATATGGTTGATTGTATACGAAAGTGATCCCTAACGTATAATATTATACCTCCCCCTTGCGACTTGAAACTCTATCACTTCTGATACAGATATAACCAGCAATGAAAGGAGAACAGTCTATATCAACGGTGAACCAAGTTTCTGTAACAACGATTATATCGGGACATAATTCTTGCACCATCAGACTTAGCTCGGACGTTTTATTTCTAAGACTACGAGCGTTCGTGTAGCACACACTTAAGGTGTTTTGGAAATCAATCGTTCTACCCATACAGGCCTCGGAAGCATTGGCTTCCAAGACCTGACTACCCGAAAATCCGTGTACTAAGAGGTTGAATAGTGCTTTGTTTGACAAAATTTATTGTCATTTAAACCATTGCTAAGTCTAACATCCCTTATCGTTTTCTGAGATTTAAAATAGGATTTCTTTTTCAAATCAAACACTTATCATTTTTCAGTCTCAGTGTAGCGGACATAAAAACTCAATGTAATTGTGATGTAAATGAGTCCTTAAAATGGATAGTTCCACAAATCTTCGATATTGACGCTGACCTTATTAGTTTTAATTTAAGCACTCTAGTTGAATCCGCACCAGATCACCAGTGGGTACGCCGTGCTATGGAACCCTTTAAACTAATCGCCAGCTCAGACAAAACACATCTCGACATAGACAGCTTTCCTTCACCTCTGACTTATGATCTGACTGTCTTGGAATCGTTCGACTGTAATAGTGTTACGAGTAAAGGCGTTGTCAAACTCAGAATACATGTGGCAACTTTTAAAGTTTTGCTTGGCAGTGTTATAAAACGTTATTTATTGAGATCTATCTGTTGGTAGTTGAACTGTGTTTTGATAACGGTTAAAAGATATGACAAAAGAAGACTAATAATCTACCTGTGTCTCAGTTGCTCATACATTCCCTCTAATATATAGGACTAGTGAAATGTAACTGAACACTAGCCGAATCATCTGGCGTTTGGGTCACTGAACGTCGAACAGTTTGCCAATGGCCGCCAAAGTTAAGGACAACCAACGCCTGCCAAATAATCACGCACCGTGGACTGACCCATGAGGTGATGGCCCCAATCTCTTCCATGTACATACACTTACTAAAATATTTCTGTAATAATGTCCTTTGTGTTGCACGGTCTGCAAAGCAGCCGTGGTACCTTGATGGGACGAAGTGGTAATCCACGTTAGGTGCTGACCTCAAGATGTCACTTCAAAGTCAGTTATTTCGCACACCATTCCCGTGGAACTCGAGTGGGCACTCAATCATTCGACACAGATCATTTACATTAATGACCTACCAATATGTCTAAATGTGTCACGGATATTCAGAGCTTAGCAATGCTTTTTCCGCAACAACTTTGTAATCGTAAGACTTAAAACACAGTCAAATAGGTAGTAATAATTAAAGGAGTTAGAATACATATTTGGAAGGTATTCGGTATGACATAAGTTATGTTATCTAAGCTGGCTGATTGTTATGATGAATGCGCAGCCCAGCGTACTCAATGGTGATCTGGTGTGAATGCATGGCCCAACACCTTTAGCTAGAATGTTTCCAGTAAAACTGAAATCAACATCAATGTGGAAGACTTGGATAACCATTAATTTACTTCAACTCTGAGTATTTTTGAACGAGCACCTTCAGTTAGTTGGTGTCCAATAAAAACTCGACTGTGGAATATTGTAAAATCGTTTTTTCAAAGAATTTTTCCTACTGTTAGGGCGTTTTTTGGTAAACAATAGTCAAACGAGAACAGAAACTATGAAGTGGTTTGGCTTTGTTAATCAGTCACCTTGATTAAAGTTATTATGTAAACTCTAAGGGTGTTTTAAATCAGAAGACGATAAGAAGCGGCGACTACACTTTACTGGCTGATAGCACGGATAACAAACCTACAAGCACATCAAACGAATATGAAACAGAGGGGCGAATGTATTTATGCGAGCAAATGTAGAAGCAAGCTTAAGGTCAAATCGAATAAATGCGAAGATAATATATGCAAATGCCAATAATATGATCCATGTGCATATATAGGAATAACTCATCAAGTTATAATTAAGCGATTAACATTCAAGCTATAGAGATATATGTGCGTACATGATTATACAGGCAAGATAGTGATCATAATAACACAAGGAAATATGCGAATTGTTACTGTTTGAATAGCATTGTCTATTAAGTAAGTTAATAAAAGAGCTTAGCAAAAATAGACATACATTTTCCATATAATTATATATATGAATGTACAGCTTAAGTAAATGAGTTCGTCGAAAAGAAAATTTTCTTCGCTGAATTCTCTCTTTCTTATTCAATACCGCCATTCTTGATGTATAAATAATATTCATGTAGGTTTTCATTTTGAGCGTGTTAAGCATTAAAACAGACATTTTAAAATTATTACATGTAT